TATGATCTAAAATAATGTTGAGAGATAGACCCCACATGGAGAATTCCCAAGTTGTTCAGATTTCAATCTCATCCTTGAAATTCACAAACAGCTTGTCTTTTATACTTGTCTGCAGCTTCATCAACTGGCATGAACGAGGTCTTTTTCATTTAATACAGTGGTACCTCGGCTCACGAACGCCTCGGTTCACAACCAGATCGGGTTGCAACCAAAAATTTCATTTAAAAATTGTCGTAGGTTGTGAACTCTGCATTGGGTGGTGACCGCCATCGCAGCCATCTCTCCACCCCCCCGAGTGGGGAGATTGTTGTGATTGTGCAGGGGTGGGGGGGAGATGGTCAAGATTGTGCCCTTCTTTCCTGCACAAGCACACCCGTCATTGCGCCTGTCTTTCCTGCACGAGTGCAACTGTGAACTCGGCCATCTCCCCACCAGCACAATTTTGCCTGTTTCCCCCCTCCCAGCGCTCCTGTGTTCACACCCATTCCCCCCCACCATGCACCAGGATGACAGGTGCGTGCAGGGATGACTGGTGCGATTGTGGTTGTGCTGGGGGCGGGGGCAGGGAGATGGCTGCGCTCTTGCTCGGGGTGCGGGGGGGATGGCCGCGATCTTTGTTGTCACTTTGCTTTACATTTTTCTGATTAAAAAAAATAGTTACAGAACAGATTAACTTTATTTACATTGAACCTTATGGGGAAATTTAACTTGGCTTACAACCAATTTGGTTCATGACCAGAGTCCTGGAATGGATTAAGTTTGTGAGCCAAGGTACCACTGTATCCTTCAATATTTCTTTAGACTCCTTCACCTGCTCTTCAGTATTCCATGGCCAGGCACATGGTGATCAACTTTATAGGTATGGCCATGAGAATGTTTGTTGCCATCTGATTATTTGGTTTGAAATTTAACAAACCATAAGAATTCGTAGTTAAGCTGTAGAAAGGCAGTTCTGGACAACTGGGATAGAAGCCAGGTTCTCTCTGGGAAGCTGCTGAGGATAGCACTGGAGCAATGCAGACCAAAATATTAACCAGATATATAGGCTTTATGATGTCCTGTGGGCAAATTTATTCTGTTAAAAGAGTTCTAAGCTAGGTGTATTTATTGTTCATTTCAGGGCCTCCAAACAGGGAACAAAAGGTGTTCCTTTGCATTCCAGGTTCTTCCTAACAGTGGGAGAAATGAGAGGTCATCTGCAGTGAAGATAAAGGGTGGGTTCACACATCATTATGAGCAATACTGCATGGTTTCCACCATCTATTTTTCCCTCCCCTCCCCGCAGCATGGTGATTTTCCTCCTCTCGCCCATTCTCTTACATTATTTCAGATGAGATCCCACAAAGCAGTACAGAGAGGAATAAGACTCCTTGCTTTGACAGCTGTGATCAAGAGCTGAGTTAAGCTCCCTGCGGCTGCCAAGTCGTCTCCGATGCACAAACACAAATGGGGCTCGTGCCCTGAAGCACAGCAGACAGGACGAGGAGGTGGGCAGACACCGTCCGTTCCTTCTCCTGAGGTGACTGCTCAAGCAGAGGGCGTTGCCCATCCATGCTTATGCAAAGGCAGGATAATCTGTTGAGCAGCACTACAGGAAGGAACTGTGCTACTTATAGGAACAGCAGTGACAAGGAAGGGGAGCTGCACACGTCCCCCCCCCCCCCGCCGCCGCTTCTCTGGCTTACCCAGGAGGCATTCCCAAGCCTGTGTCTGCAAAGCAGGTGCCAATTCGAGATTGTGTTTCTGTCATGCCACAGTGAGAAAGGGGGGCAGCAGGGGAAATTTGCTGTGGTGTTCAGCCCCCAACTGGGTACTGCTGTCCAGCTGCGTCTCACCCCACTTCTGCCTGTTTGAACATGAGAGGCTTCTCTCACGCATGTGAAAAGGCACAGAGGAGGAATATATTGAGTGGTGCTGGTCCTTGCTGCTAGCTCAAGGAGAGGCACAAGGTGCTTTGCACTGACACATGTAAAGGGTGGCACAGGAATCAGCTGCAGCACACAGCTCCTCAACTGGCAACACCATTTAGCAGGTCCTTGCCGCTCCCATTCTTGTGGGAGTGGCAGCAGGACAGTCATCGGAGCATTGCTGCCCTTCCAGTTCAGACCTGCTGATTTCTCCCTCTTGCCCCAAAGAAACTTGTTAGTGGAAGGAGCTGGGAAGAGCGGGGATGCTGCTAGCAGTTGTGCCAAAAGGCAGCTGTCAGTGGCGCTCTCTGGTGTGCTGCTTAGCAACAGTGGTAATAGGCTACTTTGCCAAGCAGCTGTATGGTTCTTCCCTCCATACTCAGCCCCACCCCCAAGTTGTACTTCCCAGTTTGGACAACACAACAAGCAATGGTACCAAGAAACCATCAAACCGACTGTTGTTTATGTTCCTCATTTCTCAAAACCAAATGTATCAAGATGCAATGACAGGTTTTGGATGACACGACAGATGGGAAAAGGTAAAAAAAAACGCTGTAACTTGCGTCATGTCAATCCTCCCAGACATTCTGATAATATGCTACATGGGGTGAGGGATCAGTGAGTCGCTAAGAAGAATTTCATAAACTTGGAAGCTTCAAATGATGTTTCATTTGGTTCAGATGTACTGATCTGTGGTGGGAAGGGAACATCAAATTAGCTGATGGTGCAAAGGGCTGATTGGCATTCCTAAATTCCACTCATACTGAAAATATAAACTGCAAAAATAGGAATTGAGAGTCTGTGGGAAGTAAAATAGAATGAAAGGGGAGAAGCCAACATGGCAGCAGCACAAAAACAAAAAAGAACAGGAGCACAGGTTCTAGAATAGCCACATGGACCTTGCATAACCATGCTATCACAGATGAATACTGGGTTTTATTTTGCTTCTCTTCGTTGTTGAATAGCTTGGATTCAAGGCTTTCTATTCTGTAGAATCTACAGGAATGCAGGATAGTGATGCAAATTACTCTGGCAGCTACTTAGGTCACCGCAATGATGGGATAAGTTGGAGCTAGCAGGAAGTTCTGGTTTACTAAGAGAAGAGCATTGATACACCTTCTTCAGTACTGTCGGTACTTGCTACCAGTGGCTTTACAAAGTTTCAAGCAGGATTCTTTCCTAGTCCCACCCAGAAATACAAGGGATCTAACTTGGGACTGTTAGGAATTAGTGTAAGGAAAGGATTAGGTTGGAATGACATGAACTTTTTAGCAGTGTAGAAGCAGAGAACAGATAAGGGAAGATTTGTTTTTGCTTGTTCGCTTGTATCTTCCACTCTTAATAAAAACTTAGTGGCAGGGGTTGTTTATAAAAACAATGTAGAGTGAGTTACTTGGCCCCTCTTCAGTAACTGTGCATAATCAGTAAGGTTTAAGAAGCTATAAAACTTGATGCAGTGCTATGAATGCTTGTTGCCCTGTAGCCTGGTGAAAGTAGGGTGCATCTACAATTTTTTTTGCCATGTGGAGAGGTAAGGGACGGAAGCCTGCCATAGAAAAACTATTAACATTTGGCAAGTCAACAAGATTGCATGTGTGTGCTAATTCTGTATAAATTCAAAGTCATTGCTTTCTGTGAAATATAAAATGGAATATACATCCCCATGCACTTTCTGGTGCAACTAGTTTCATATCAGTTCTGTTTTTAAAGTCTAATTACCAAGCTGAACTATGTTTCTTTGTAGCCAACTGAAGACACTATTGGTTTGTTTGTATTCCTATTCTATTGAAGATTCAACAAAGCATTCCTAGCTGGCTTTTATCTTAATAATATTGCTAAATAACATCTGGAATTTGTCAAAGGCAAATATGCAATATAAATCAACATGTTTGTAGTCATTGCGTGAGGTGAGGCAAGCTTTATAAAACCACATGTATTTCCATGGGGATAATATGCTGTAAGAAACTACTCTTTTCAATTATGAAAGGAGAGTATCATCTTCCATGCTATATATTACCCATTCAGTGTAGATAATTTATGCCCTCTTTCTTTTCATCTAGGTTTTCCTGTTCTTAGGAGCAAATTCTAAATAAGCAGGAGTTCTGAAGATTGCTAAGAGTGTAACCTATGAATCAGGAATTACAAGTTCAAAGTAAAACACTCTACTTAGTGGCTAGTAGAAAGAGAGCAAAGGTAGTATAGAATATATGAAATGAAACTATGTCCAAGGGAAGCTATATTGTTCTAGCTGTGTTGCCAATTTCTGTGATGGCCCCTGCAGTAGGAACATTTCTACTTTCCATCCTTTCTAGCAATTTTTTTTATTTTTGCTATTTTTCTACTAATTTTTGTTAGGCATAATTAGGAACAGAACTGCCAAGACTCTATTCCCCTTATGCACATTCAAGGTGTGACCACAGTTAGAAATGTATACAGTTCTGATTGCCTTACCTGAAAAATGGCATTACTGAATTGGAAAAGGTATAGAGAAGGACCACAAAAATGATCAAGGGGCTGGAGCAGCTCCTGTGTGAAAAGTGACTATAGCCATTGGGACTGTTTAACCTAGAAAAATGGTGAATAAAGGGAGACACGCTAGAGGTGTTTAAATTGCTGCATGGTGTGGAAAAGGGGACATTTTTCTCACCTTCTCATATAAGTAGAACCCGGGGGCCCCCATAAAGCTGATAGGTAGGTTTACAACAGACAAGAGGAAGTATTTCTTCGTACAACAGATATTTAAAATTATAGAATTCACTGAAATAGGAAGTGGAGATAGCTACCAATTTGGACTGGCTTTTGAAAGGGATTGAATGGATTAATGGAGGAGGCTATGGCTATGTGCTGTCTCCTTTACCAGAGGAGGCATTCCTGCATACAGGAGTCGCTGAAGAGCTTGGGCAGGTGTAAATGATGCACCCAGCTTGCTTGCAGGATCCTGTATACAGCTGGTTTGCCACCGTATGAATGGATGCACCATTTGATCTGACCCAAATGCGCCACAGACTGGATGCACCATTGGTCTGACCCATCATGGCTTGTCTTATGTTTATGTTCATTGTAATAAATAGAAACAAAAATAACAAAGTAAAATGAACTTATTATAGTTTTCTAGTTTTTAATATACGTATTATAAGTATAAATGATAAATATAATGCACACCTCCAATATATTTTTATGTGAGATAACTGTTCTTTACACACAGTAAAACAAACACACAGACCCTAGACCAAATATCCATATATTTTTCTGTTTGTAAATTACATGTAGAAATCATCCATTCAAAAATTGAATAAGTCCTCAAGCCACTGTATATTGAAGATGGCCGTTTTTCTTCCTAATGTTGTAATATCAGCTTTTTTGACTGTTAAAAAGCTGTGGAGCATTTACTTATGTGGGTCATTCAGAAAGTTCCAAAACTGCCAGTAGATATTTAAGAATTTACATGGCTGTGAACATTGAAGTAGTTAGCATTGCAAAGTTTAACTGTATTATTACCTTCTCCCAAAACAAGGTGGCCACTGGTCATTGCCAAAACATTTTAGTAAGAGAAGCATTTGCTATTTACTCCTCCAACAGTTGGCTGATTTAGACAAACAGATTCCCAAGTACCAATCTGTTGCTTGGTCAAAATAGGACAAATCACAAATCAATTTGCCATTTCATTCTTGCTTATGATCCTAGATATATTTGTTTTCAAAAATAATTTATAAACCTGGATCATGGGCTAATATAGCTGTAAAAGCAGGATTTGACCTAATGTTTCAATTGCACATATTGCCATGTTTGCCATTGCCATTCAGCAATTACTGACAGATCATATTTTGTTGTTAGCTGTTCAGTCGCGTCTATTAGCGATCATATGAGCCAAATCTCACCACACTTTCCAATCCTGTGCCACCTCTTTCAGCTGAACTATGCTCTGGCCCGCATCCTCTTTGATGGAGTCTAACCACCTTGCTCTTTGGCAACCTGCTTTTCTCTTGCCACCTAGCATTCCAACTATTGTACCTTTTCTAATAAGCTTGATCTCTCGATGTGACCAAAATACGTGAGCCTCAGCTTTGTTATCTTGCTGGCCAGGGATGCGTCTGATTTAATATGCTCCAGAATCTGCTTGTTCATGACTCCTGCTGTCCATGGAATGCGCAGGAGCCTCTGCCAACACCACAGTTCGAATGAGTCAATTTTCCTCTTGTCTAGCTTTTTCACTGTCCAACTTTCACAACTGAAGGTTACAATAGGAAAAATGATCACTCAGACCAAATCGCACTTGGTTGGTAAGCCGATGTTCTTGTTTTTCTACACTTGCTGGATGCTTGTCATTGACACATGAGCTAGTGAAATTCGTTGCTTTATTTCTGGACTGCATTTATCTCTGCAAGTAATCAGTGATCCCAGGAGAGTGAATTCCTCTACACATTCAATTTCCACATTATCAACTGTTTTGATGACTTCATTCTGTGCAGTTGCAAAGATCTTTTGTCTCTTTGATGCTCAGAAGGAGGCCAAACTTCCGCACTCTCTTCCTTGATTCTTTGGATCAATTGCTTTAGACCTTCTTGGGTTTCTGAGAGGAGGGCTGTGTCATCAGCATATCAAAGGTTGTTATGCTTCTTCCTCTGATCTTTATCTTCCTCATGATTGCTTCAGCATACAAGTTGAACAGAAAAAGGGAGAAATACACCCTTATCAGACTCCTTTCTCAACCTTGAACCAATCCTTGTCCCATATGGTGTTCCTACAGCCACTGGCTGGTTTGTATATTGTCACTGCAGCAACCTGACCAGATGTGTTGATACCCCGTCTTTTAGTGCTTTCCACAACTTGTCAATGCCTGGTGTTTTGTTGTTTGGCAGCTTATTGCCCATGCTACTTCTTCCTCAAGAATGGCTAGTTCTAGTTCTATCTGTTTCATTTTCCACTTTATCCTTATGCAGTTCAATCCCACTGCTTTTGGTGTACAGCTCTTCAGTGTATTCTTACTATCTGTTCTTGATGTTTTGTTGATCAGCCAATTCTCTCCCTTCTTTTTTATGATTGCTTTGCGTGCACTAAAAGCTGTTTGAATTTGTATAACCCTTCTTGCAGTCCTGTGCACATTTCTGATCCCAGAAACTTTCACTGTCTTTCCTGGCTGCCCTTTGGAAATCCACATTTAGTTCCCTTGCTTCTTCCTGATCACCTGCTGCTTTGGCTATTTTTTTTCGATCAGCTATTTTGATTGTTTCATCTGAAAGCCGCCTGGATCTTGTCTGTGGCTTCTTATATGGTATATGGTTAACAGCTACTTCAATAATGTTTGATTGAATGTCCTGCCAAGTTTGTCAGATGACTTTTCATCCATTGCTAACACTTCAAACCTGCTATCTCAGCTGTATACATGGGGAGATTTTGGTGGTGTTGGATGTTATCTTTTTGGATGTTATCTTTTTGGTGTTACGTAATTTCAGTTTGATTTTGGCCACCAATAATTCATGATCCGAGCCATGATTGGCACCTGGATATGCCTTCACGGCACAGACAGAACTAATCCAACAATGGTTGCAAAGCTCATATTTAGCACACATAAAACTTTGCACTACAAAACACTGCTTTTTAAAAAAAATACTTGCCAGGTATGAGTAACGAAATATGACATAGAGCAAAAACAATGAGATATTATATTCATTTTGAGTATAGTTACCCTGCCACATAAACTCAACTTTAAAGACATTAACTATGTTGCCAGTTGTCCTGTATGGTAGGAATAGTCCCACTTTGCATCAGAAGACAGAATACTATTTTCCTTTGCTGAGGCTTTATAAAAGCACCTCAAGACTGCTTAGTATTTCATCCCTCCTTCCCTTTCTACCAACTTCCATTCTGTTCAGCACTGTTTGTATTTTACCCAGCAGAACTGCAGCAAAGTGAACTGTGGGAACTAGCATTTCATATCATGAAGGGAGCTAGTGGGCCTAAAATCCACTGAGTGCATTCTTAGACAATTGCTGGGTTATACCCAGAGGATTCCAAACCTATAGCCCTCGGGCTATTTAAAGCCATTCTAGCGAGTGGCAGGCTAGGTGGCAGGTGGCTTTTACACATTCACCTGCCTCAGTTTAAAACATTTTTAGCCATATTGGTCTGTCAAGCTTGCTTATCAGGAGTAGGCAAGGAACTTGTTCCTCCTCCCCTTATCCCAGAGTCTCACCCTCCTTTCTCCTTGTCACTGCAGTGACAGTGCCTTGGAAGAGATGCTGCTTAATAGCTTTCCATGGTGGTTGACGGGGGTAAGAGCTACAACTGGGTTTCCTTTATAGTCATAGCTCTCTCCGCAGCTGTAAAGGAGCTGTGCACCACCCTCTTGCTCACCGGGTCCCACAGTTGCACTGTTGGAAGACTTTCGTGGATTAGGTAGGGAGTATCAGCTACAGACTCCTAAGCAATTAGACTTGACACAAACCACATTGCAGAAACATCAAACATTAAAAATCTTTTATTAAATGCCTCTAAATTCATATATAAAATAAAATTCAGGATCTTATTGTTCAAGTCCCTTGAACAATAAGACTGCCCACTGAAATCCTGCTTTAACCACACAATTGGTTTCTGGGGAAATAAATTAACAAGACCCCCCTAGACTTTCATTTGCTAGATATCTGTTTAATAAACTTTGTATTTCAAAGAAGCCTAAGCATACTGCATAATTTCACAAGTTGGCATTAATGTATTCATCTCAGCTTACTGATTTGAGAACAAGTTGAAAATGTCTTTGGACATTTTGCTTTTCAAAATGATATTGAGCCTAATGTCTTTTTAAAGGGGTTGAGCAGCCAAGAAAATATAGCTTCATTTTCCTTCCACATTTGCTACCATGGCCTCCACTGCATTCCAGTCCAACTTGCTCAGGATGCTGCTAGTGCTGTCAGACACGCTGTTGAAGGTATTAAAGCTGGCAGTGGAGCAACTATCGTCTTGAGGGAAAGAATCCTATGAAGAACAGACATATAAATGAAAGAGGAGCTACCATTCAGCTTAAGCGCGCCATGTGCCTAAAACAAAATTGAGTGTAGTAGTATCTACAGGAGTAAATAATCCAAAAAGGTCCAATACACTTTATCACCTGTTCTGGCCCAACTTCAGGCTGCAGGTTTGAGTGACCCCAAGAACCTGCTGAGTCAAGATTTACTTAAAAGGAAGCTTTATTGAAGAGTCATGCAAATTATTCCAATGGCTAGCTTTGTAAGGGTTTAGCAAGCAAGGCACTTACAATGCTGTTACTTGCTGCTGTGTGAGGATTTAGGGGAGAAAGGATGCGTCAGGTCATAGCGTCACTTTATTCCTATAGAAAATGAGGCATGGAAGGGTCTATGTAGAGGGTGCAGTTTGCTGGCTTGACAAGCTGATGTGGTGGCTTTGAGGAATGCTCCTTTCCATGAAAGGAGCTTGAGGTCAACTGTGGCCAGAGGTTCAAAGGGTCATCCAGCGAGGGGTTGAAGTATGACGGATAAGCTCAAGCTGGTTGGTGGAGCAATATTCTGTAGGGCTGTTAGGAACTAATGGGATAAAAGGTGTGTGACCACTGCAAAACCCTGCATCAGGGCACAAATTGATGAAATTGTGGCCATTATGACTCCAAAGGCTGATGGCTAACCCCCTTTGGAGTAGGATGAGTAGGAAGTAGAGCATTGCTCAATGGAGCAGTCACCTCAGCTGAAGGCTTCTCCCTGTGCAACAGGGGAGACTGTGTTCCATTTGGTTGCGTATTTCCTCCTAGTGGTGCTCAGGTGGCAAACCAGTGGTCAGTCTGTTTGCTGGATGATTTGCCATGCTGTAAGGCATGAGTCCTCAAACTACGGCCCGCGGGCTGGATCCGGCCCACCGTGCCCACTTATCCGGCCTGCCATAGCTTGCCATGGGTGCACGCATGGTGAGGTGCAGCTTGCCCACGAAGAGATCGTTTTGGACTCACTCAGAGAAAAGGATCTCCTTGCAAGCAAGCCACGCCTTGCTGGGAGAGCCTTTTTTCCGAATGAGTCCAAAACGATCTCCTTGCAAGCAAGCCGGCCTCGAGGTGCCAGTTTGCTTGCAAGATCGTTTTGGACTCGCTTGGAGAAAATGATTTCTGTGCATGCATGCCCCTGCCTTGCTGCACACGGCACGCGCCCCCCGCCCGCACCACCTTGGCAGCCCGCACCCATTGCTGGCACCTTTCATTTGACTCCCTATTCAAAAAATTTGAGGACCCCTGCTGTAAGGTGTAGTGTTGATATTGGGGACCGCTCCCCAGTCATGGGAGATCAAGGCTGGATCTGACAGGAGCTGAAAGATTATTTTGTTCAATAGTTTGAGCAGGAGAACAAACCACATGTGTGGGACACCGACATATAATAAAGATGTGGGTCATTCTACCTTGATGGATTTGTGCCAGCACTCTGGTGATCAGTGGGAATGGGGGCGTAGAGAGAGAAAACAGTATCCTGACCCATTGATGTAAGAATGTGAATCCCGGTGAGCCTCTGCCTACTCCCGCTTGAGAACAGAAGTCCCTGCATCCTGTGTTGATGCTGGTAGCAAAGAGGTTGACCATTGTGTCCCCCAGCTGTCACAGATTGTGGTGAGTGTTTGGGTGTTCATCTCCCATTTGTGTATGCTAGTGAGTTGTTGGCTGAGTGTTGTTGTCCACCAGTGTGTTGTCAGTCTCAAAGACATGAATTGCTTTAACTGTAACGTTTTCGCTGATGACCAATTCCAAATGCAAACAGCTAGGCATGACAGTGGAACAAAGAAGGTGGCTCCTGGCTTGTTGATGTAGAACATCATGGTAGTGCCGTCTGTGGCATTTGAATATGGTGATGAGTGAGGAGGGTTTTAAAAGTAATGGGAATCTTCTGGGCTTTGCGTGGCTCAAGGTTGCCGATGTGTTTGCACTTCTCTTGGGCAGGCCAGGTGCTGTGGGTCCATGTGGTGCAGTGGTGGGCTCCTCTTCCATGGGTACTGTGAACACCATTTCCAGTGACACAAAGCCGAAAGCCTCCGAAAGGCTGCTAATCCAGGCTTGACCTGCCTGACATGGCATGTGAAGGTGGGTCTGACAAGAGCCAAGCTGTGGGTGATGGGCAAGCATGAACCAGAATTGGGGTGTGTAGATTTGGAATCTGGCAAATGATACAACTGTGATCATTGTTGCTCTGAGTAAGCACTACACCTGGTATACAGTGATGACTGGACAGGTATGAAGCTTGGTGGTGAAACTGATCAGAGTGGATGCCCTGGAGGCTGGAAGGTCAAAGTTTTTCTGCTTTCAAATTGATGCATATCACAGTGAAGAGTTATAGAATCATAGAACCGTAGAGTTGGAAGGGGCCATGAAGGCTATCAGGTCCAACCCTCTGCTGTTGCGGGACATGTTACACCATCCCACTCAGATGGCTGTCCAGGTTCTTTTTGAATGTCTCTAGTGCGGGAGAGCCCACGATCTCTCCAGACAGCTGGTTTCACTTCATGTTGCCCTGACAGTGGAAACTTCTCCTGATATCTAGCCTGATTCTGGGTTGTGCAACTTAAATTGATTATTCTGTGTCCTACATTCTGGTATCAGCAAGAAGTATCTTGTATTCCCCCGCCTCCCCCAGTCTTCTCTTCTCAAGGCCCATTTCTCTCATTCTCTCCTCAAAGGATGGTGTTTCCAAATCCTGGATCATTGGATCCTTCTCTGGACCCTTTCTAATTTTTCTGCAAAGTAGGCATCTTTCATATGAAAGTAGGCATCTTTCAAGTCTATAGATGCAAACCAGTCCCTATTCTTAAGATGAGACATAATGTTCTGTAAGGAAACCATTCAAAACTTCTTGGGTGTGATGAAGTTGACATCTCCTAAGTCTAGAATTTGGTTAAGGTCAAAGTCCCCCATCTCCCTTTGGTACCATGAAGTAACCACTGTAGAAGTGCCATTGCTGCTCTGGTGATGAAAAGGGCTGCACAGCTTTTAGAAAGAGAGCGCCTCCTGCAGCTGCAAAGCCCGTATGTGTGATGTGGACACCACAAAGAACTCTGCCTACACCCCCTGGAGTAGCAGCCAGGGACCCAGTGTTGCAACAGCTCTTATAACACGGGGGGCGGGGGTGGGGGGCATTTCCTTGCCCTTCAAGACAGACTGTGCTTAGTGACAGTGAAGCACAGTACATTTAGCTATTTAGGGCTCTACTTTCTGCTGCCCACCCATGCATGCCTCTTAGCAGGGCAGAGAACCTGCAAGTCTCTGCATGGCTCCACCTACACTGTGGCTCTAACTCTGGGGAAAGGTGGGCACCCCCCCCCCCCCCCTTGTAGCACAGTAAGGCATTCTGGGGCAAAATGAATAAGCAACTTAATGATCCAGCACAACTCCTGGCTTCTGATACCCGCCTCCCCCACCCCACGTAAGGCAGGCAGGAAATAATGTCATGCTTACAGCAGCCTCAAGGGGGACTCTTTTCAAGCATGAGGAGGGCCATCATTTCAGCAGTGGATGAGAGGTATAAATGGGGGGAAGGCTTAGATTCTTTCAGCCCTAGATAGAGGTTTTCTTCCAGAACCTGGCATGCAGCATCTGATGATGCCAGTGAGCACATATGAAGTCAGTGACCACCCAACAGTCTTTCCCAATCTCAGGGACATTTCTGTCTACCTTCCATCGATTGAAGGCACTGGTGCCTCAGGTGTGAGAGGTATTCCATCTGGGGCATAGGACAGATGCCACAAAAGCTTCATAAGCAACCATCTGCAGCTGTTGAGGCTAGATGCAGTTCCTGACACCAGAGCCTCTTATCTGACAGTTGCTGCAAGCGATGCCAACAGGAGTCACAATGGCAGTTGCTCAGAGTGGATCCAGGTGGTAACCTAAGCAAGCTGAGATGGGCCTAGTGAGGCACGCTTTCTCCAAACTGTGAAAGCTAGAAAATCTTCTTGACAACGGGCTCCAGGCAGGTGCAGAATCCATATGTGTGAAGCCCAGAGTAAGCCCAGGTGTCCACTGGAAAAATGACAATTACAAAGCAGTCTGCATTTGTCGCCCTTTCCCCTGATTTGTATAGCTGCATTTGTACCCTTTACTCCCTTCACATAGCCCCGGAGCCCAACAGCCTTCCATGTTCTCTTCATCTTCACAGCAGTATCTTGTCTGAGATATCTGGTGGCTTAACGGCTAAGCAGAAATTTGAACTCAGATCTTGGCTCTGATGGCCTCCATGTCACCACACTAGGGGAAAGAAACAGTTTCCATTTCTTCTTAAATGACACTATGTAAAACCCACAATCAGATTTTTGGTACACTTATAACTCACATTTAAAGATTTGCATAGAAAAAAGAGTTAGGAGAAAACCCCAAAACTGCAGAATGGTTCACTGCTAACTGCAAACCGCCTGGACAGCTTTGGCTATTTGGTGGTGTAGAAATTAAAGAAATTAAATAATAAATACATTCACACTTTTACCTTTTTGGAATGGGACTTAGAACTGCCATACAGTATCTGCTGAATCTCATCAGGGACGCTCCACACACTCACAGCATCATCGCTCTCCTCGGTGCCCTGAGTCACTGAGTCTGCGTTTAGGAACCTTCTCTGACTCATGGACTCTCTTGTCTGCTCAGGAGCTGGAAGGTTGCACAGCAATAGAAGGCCTGCTCAGTTTTGCAGAATAGAAAACACCCCAAATCTTGGATTAATGGGGTGGCGAATGGGGCGCATAAAAATGTTTTAATAAATAAAATAAATTAATTAAGCGCACACAGACGAGTGCTCTGTTCCCACTGGTGTTACTACAGTGCCTCTTCTGTGCTACATTCAGTACTACTAGAATAATTATTACTTTTCATGTTGCCAGAAATCTTAATTACCAAATAAAAATATGACTTGTGCAAAATCAGTTTCCCTCAAAGTTCTTCTATAGGTCAAAATGGAAAACAAACTCTTTATGGGCACAGAAAATATTTTGGAATGTAAATCTGTAATTACTCCAAGTTTCGGACACAGGGTGGATTTGATCTAAATCACTAGTCAGTAACACTAGATTTAAATAATGGGGGTTTTTAAATGTAATTTGCATATATGCCTGCCTTACCCATAGATAGAGGAACTTCATTAAAATATTTCCAAACTGGGTCTCTTTTGCAACCTGCTGTCATTATATGTTTTCTTCTCCAACAAAAAAAACAGTATAAGCCGCAAGCTATGCACAAAAAGATCCAATGTTTCACTTTCATTTTTACTGTTTGCCCCTCCCTCCTCACACTTAGCTTCTTGTGCGGATCTATTCCACTCCCAACAATCTTTTTCTATTCATTGAATTGTCTGAAACTTAGCACTTAAGAGGTAAGGGATTGATTTTGTGTACATAGATTTGTAAAGCAACAATGGGATTAAGGTCTTTTTCTCAACTCTGTATGTTTATTTTATAACATTTTGCTGTGAAGAAGAAGCATGTGATCTAGGCAGACACAAATTCAGTTTTGAGAACTGTAAAACAAAGCATCTGTGATATTTTAGACTGAAAAAAGTTGTCTAATAATCTCACTGAAACATAAGGAAGAACAAAACATTGTGAGTGGATTAACATTAACATTTAACAAAAAATTGAAACGTTGCATAAATATTCGCCACGTGCTACAAATTTAAAAACTAATCCTTATTTCATGATGAATAACCTTTGGACTATAATGTATCTTAAACAGAAAGCTGTCTTTAGATAGATTTTTCCTCAAAATGCATTTTATTTTTAAAAAAATCAAATTTAAATAAAAATCTGATTTAAAGTAAAAAAAAAAATCTGATTTAAATTTTTAAAATCTGATCATTTTTATTTTTTAAAAGCCATTAATTTTTATCCACCATTTGGATGATAATTACACTTGCACTGAGCTAATCAAATATACCCAACTTGGGATTTAAAGTTCCCACAAACAGTGGACAAACTCCAGTGATGATCCCAAGCCTTTTGGAGAAAAAAGGCCTGTGAGCTTGTCTGACCAAGTTCTGGAAAATGCCCAAACCCAACCAGCCAAAAGCATAGATAAAAACTTTTATGTTCCTTATCTGACTGGCCTATCCTAAATCTTTGTGATTCTTTAGCTTATAATGAGACAAAAAGGTTTCCTCCCAGATGCCTCAATATTCAATGCAAATAATAGCATCCAGCAGAACACCAAGGCATCTGAAAGAAAAATTTAGATGAGCACTTGTGAACAGCACTAGCATTTGTCCAATCACAAACCTTGACTCCTTAAGTCAAGGCTGCTACTTGACCATGGCTTGTGGCTTTGATCTCCTTTCCATCGTGTCTCTCTTTGGCAGGATGTTGATATCATTCTTCTGTAAGGAGCTTGGCATATTCGGCCTTTAAACAGAAAGCATAACTAAGTTACTACACAATGGCTGAGAAATTAAAATGCAGAGTGATGTAAGCCCAATGGAGTTCCGTATGATCTGAGATAGCATTTATCTCCAGCGTGATAGCACAGAACCATCCTGCAGAAGTTACAGTCGGAGCGCCAAAACCATACCCAGTAGGCTGTGAGGTTACATTCCATCCAAATAATTTCACTCATATAAAGTATGTTTGCTCTGCTTTTCAGCTAAAAGTCCCCAGAGTGCTTACAGATAAATAAAAAAGCTCCTAGAGTGCCTGGGTCCTCAGGCTTACAATCTGAACATTCTCCTTGTAATGCCTGCATTACTGCTATATAATGACTGCTACTGCAAAACAAGCCATTAGTTCCCAAGAGGTTATCTCCCTTTATTGACCAGGAAAAACAGGGATAATATGACAGGATAATATGATAATATGAGTCCAGTTGGTCCTGGACTCCTCCTCCCCTTAGTAACAGAAGCCAGGAAAATAACTCTCCAGTAAAAATGCAAAACCACAGGGACCACAAAGGAGAAAACTTCCCAGGGATAACAGATACATAAAGTAAAAAGAAATTCAGTCCCAAGCTGAAGCCTTGATTCAAAAGGCACAAAGACTGCAATAGACTACAATAGACTCCAGCACCAAAAATGGTTTGGATGTGCCCAGGATGTCTCCACACATCATCCCAGAAGAAACCTTCTTGGTAAGCATCCATGTTCCATTCACCAGGCTGGTGTGAGGAAGGTATCCCTATGATAGGATGTGTTAAAGTGTTAATTAGGGTGGGACAAGTTGTAAATACTGCGTCTGTTAAGAACTACCTACCTGTTGGAGAACCATCCTACCAAAGGAGGCAGTTAGAGAGGCCTATTTATATCACAGTGTCCAGTAGAGATCCTAAAATGTGGCTTTACATATTTCTACCAGCAAGGCATAGATGGAAAGGGCTGCTGAGGCTGCAGTCAATCTGGTGGAGGCTATTATGGCCTTTAAAAGTTTGGGAAAGCATAGAACTTCAAAGGCATAAAGAAATACATGCATTCAGCAGCTTGATTAGCATGGATCTGGAAACTTTGTTTTACTCATGGCTGTGAGATGAAAACAGAAACAGATTGGCAAAAGGACTGCTGTGTGTTTTAAATATGCTCTGACTACTCTGCTTACATCTAGCACATACCAGCCCTTCTTCAAGTGGCGAGGGCTAAATGAAGGCAAGATAGGCTCTTGTAATCTGCAAAACAAGGCCCTGACTTTGAGAATGAAGGCAGGATCCGTTTTGAGGGTAAGCTTTTTCTGAAAAACAATCAAAAAGATTGGAAGCCAAGTGACAAAGAACAGCAAAGACCTGATGCGGAATTCGTGACCTGAGGCAGATTTTTTATGAAATTTTTGTTTGCGACCCAATTTGGTTGTGAACTGAGGCGTTTGTGAGCTGAGGTACCACTGTACATAGAATTGCTGAAGAGAAACATGCTGCAGAAAACTGCACAAGAAAATTTCTGTCCTGGGCAAAAAGCAGAGAGAAACTGGGATGGAAAAGTCTGGGACCAGGAGTCCACACAAAAGTATATCACATCACCTCCACACTTTCCTTGCACAATTTTGGGAATTCACCCATTGTACAGATGCCTTCCTTATGCCAACCTAGATAATAAGATCTTTCCATTCTTACTTTTTCTCTGAGTTATGTCACAAGAACTTCTCCAACCCAAGCCAACTTCAGCAGCAGTCTTCTTTCTTGCAGCTTGGTAAGACCCATGGTAATGTCTAAGAAAGATATACTTCAATTATTATTTCAAAACTAAATTACAAAAGCACACTAGAACAGCTCATCACTTTGTTACACTGTAAGTGCCCATACTCAGCATAACCTTGTAAATTTCACCATGACTGGGTTTCCCTGACAAAGCTGCCCAGACTGTGTGACCCAACTACAGTGGCCTCTTGTGTCATGTGAACCTGGACTACGACGTACTTTCCTGAGGGTGGCTTGTGCTTGGGCAACAAGCCACCCTGGTAAGCTATGGCTTGTTCTAGGGGTTCCTGGGCTCACAACAGGCTGCTGAATCATCCAAATGCAATCCCATGGTAGGTTGTGGGATGGAATAAGGCCCTGTTCAGCAAAAGCAGCCAAGATCCCTTGCTGATTTTGCCCAGCCTACCTGAGCAGCAACCTCTGACAGCCCCAGTGCATTTTGGAGCGATTGCCAGTGGCCAGTTGCCTCCACCCTTTTTGCTGGGGGAATATTACAAATGTGTCCAATTTTGATTATAGTTTATTTAAAAAATGTTCCTGGTTCACTACAGCTGCCTTAAATGGGGCATCTTGTTTGGTCCACGCCCTGGTAAACATCAGCCGTCAAAGTGCAGCAGGACATTGACCCAACGACGCGGCACCCACGTGGCCAGGAGACTGGCAAGGCAAGATTCCGCATGTTGGGCAGCCATGGGTGTGTGTCTGCATGGAACCCATTAACAGAAGAAAAGAATTACAGTCAGCACTGCAAACAATTGTGCTGCCCTCCATTTTCAAAAAGAAGGGTCCTGAGTCAGTGGTGGTCAGTCTAAAGTGCCACTTGGGCATCAGTGGAGCTATTAGCACTGGTGGCAGTACGGGAATCCCCACATAACATAGGATGAATAGGGCCACAATGAAGGGAAGGCAAGACCTGTTGCATATGACCAGGAAAACTGGTCACAGGACTGTGGGGGAACCGTATCTCTTAGGTGCACAGAGAGTTGTTCCACAAATAACCTCTATTATGCAGCTTACAGGTTGCTATGCCATGCAAACTCACCCTACAATCATGCTTGAGATTTATTTGTTACCAAAATGTGGATAAGAGATTTTCTCTCACATGGACCCGTACAGCTATTTTTGTTTATATTTATTTCAAGAATGTTTATCCCATTCTTCAGCTGAAAAGGTTCCTAGCATTACATACATTCTATAAAATATAGTTCTTTAGTGTTCTATAGACTAAAAGAAACAACACAAAAGAAAAAAAAATAGTGCAGAGGGAAAAAAACCTCTGGTACTAATTCTTGAAATTAAATAGTAGTACTTATAACAAGCAGCTGGCACGGAAATAGTTCAGCAGATCAATCTTATCACCACCACCATCATTAGTATTTATTTTGTTTCTATAACACCCTACAGCAAAAACTTTCAGGTAGTTTACAACAATTCATAAAAACAGACAATAGTTTGTTTACAGGTAGTTTACAACAATTCATAAAAACAGACATTAAAATTATAAAACCTAAAACAGTTTCAAACAGCCTGAAAAGATAATAAACGGCTTAGGATCTGGATATCTGAAGGAATGCCTCCTTCCCTGTGTACCTGCCTGCTCCTAAAGATCTGGGTTGGAGGTCCTTCTCTGAGGATGGCTACCCATTTGTTACAGTGATGCCCTGGTTGTGCAATATGCTCCCCAGAGAGGTTTGCCTGGTGCCGACACTTATTATTTTTGGCCAAAACATTATTTTCTCAGTATTTTAAGGTTTAGATTGAGATGGGTTTTCATTGTATATAAGTGGGTTTTTATTGTACATAATGGATGCTGTGATCCACTTTGTTTTATTGTAAGACCATTCAAAGACCATCTGGTAGTGGACCATTTTTTAAATGGTGAAAATTTTGAATAAATAAATGAAAATTTTAAATGAATGAATGAATGAATAAATAAATAAATAACAAAGAAAGACTCTGAAGAAACATCAGGAACGGGCAATCCTCCTCAGATCTTTGGATGGCCAAGTAAGTTTTAAAGGCCTTAGGAAAGAGGACCATCCTAACCAGGCTGCACAAAGATGGCAGTTTTGTTGCCGGCTGGGCCATATTAAGGAATTTGTTCCACAGACAGGGGCCACCAAAGAGAAAATCCTCCTCCTGTGGAGAAAATCCATATACTTCCTGTGGAGTTGGCACTCAGAGGAAGGCTCCAGAGGCTGAGTGTAGTGTCTATGTAGATTGCAGTTGGGAGAGCCACTCTGACAGGTATTGCAGTCCTAACCTATGTAAGGCTTTATAGGTTAAAACCAGCACCTTGAATTGGGACCAGAATCATACAGGCAGCCAATGCAAGCAGACCAGAACTGGCCATATATGTTCGGACCTGCGGTTCCCAGTTATTAATCCTGCTGCTCCATTCTGCACCAGCTGCAGCTTCTGAATAGCCTCCAAGGACAGCTCTACATAGACTGCATTGCAATAATCTAGTTCAGAGATTACCAGGGCATAGACTACTGAAGCCAGGACATCCTTGTCCAGATAAGGGGCATAGCTGGACCACCAGCCAAAGCTAGTAGAAGGCAGTCCAGGCCACCGAGACCCTCTGAGCTTCAAGTGACCAAGATGGATCAAAAAGCTATGAATCTGCTCCTTCAGGGGGAGAGTAACCCCCCCAGGACAAGTTGAACACCCTCTAATTCAGTCAGTGGAACCACCCACCAACAGCATCTCAGTCCTGCTTGGACTGAATTCCAATTTGTTAGCCCTCATCCAGTCCATTGTTAGCCCTCATCCAGTCCATTGTCACAGCCAGACAGCAGTTTAGCACATCCACAACCTCACCTGCTGACAATGAAAAGAGAAATAGAGCTGTGTGGAATCAGCATACTGATGGTAATGCACTCCTCAAAACACTGGATGACCCCAGTCAGTGGTTTCATATAAATGCTAAAAAGCATGAGGCACAAAACATCTAGGAATGTTTAGTCCACAGGACTAAATAATATTCCTCAAGCACCACCTTCTGGAGATGGCCCTCCAGGTAGGAGCAAAACCACTACAATGCATTGTCCCCCACTCCGAACTCTGACAATTATCCCAGAAGTATAAAATATTCAATGGTATCAAAAGCCACAAAGAGGTCCAGGAGTAACAACAGGGTGGCATTCCCTCTATCTCTCTCCCAGCATAGGTCAACATGCCAGTCAACAAAAAGCAGGCCTGAATCTCAACCAAAATAGATCCAGAATATCAGTTTCACAGAGCCTGAAGCAGATTGGCAACCACCCACACAAGAACCTTGCCCAGGAAAGGAATACTTGCTACTGGCCTAAAATTATTCAGATCTTCTGGGTCAAGGATGGGTTTCTTCAGAAATGTTTTCACAACCACTTCTTTAAGGCAGCACTGGACCTCTACCTCTCAGAAAGAGGCATTAATCACCTCCCTGGTCCAGCTGGTGATAATATAAGCCAGGAGAGGGAAGGACCCAGTAAAGCAGTGGTTGCCCAAACCTGGCCAAGCACTGTGTCGGCATCCTTGAGCTGTACCAACTGAAACTCATCCAATTAAACCAGACCAAGCTGTGCTCTTGTTATCTCCACAGATTCAACTGCTTTAACTCCAGAGCCCAAGTCCCAGTGGCTGTAAGATATTTTTTTTCCAGGAAGTGCCCAATGAGTAAATTGAAGTGGGCCTGAGATGGTTCCAAGGTCTCCCTGGGAACAGAACACATTAAGCCCTAGACAACCTTGAAAAGCTCTGCTAGGAGGCAAAGGGAAAAAAAACAGAGGCAGTGAGATAATTGTTTTTTTGCAGCCTTTACTGCCTCAAAATATACCCAACTGTAGGCACAAACAAGGCTTCTGCTGCGTTCACTGGGAGTTTTCCTCCATCTGCACTCAAGCTGTTTCTGAAGTACTTTTATCGCTGTAAGTTCTGGGATATACCGTGGGCCTGCATGAGCTCTACAACAGAGAAGGTGCTTAGTAGCAATCATGCCATGGATTGTTTCTGCATTCAACAGCATGACCAGGGCTTTGACAGGAGTATTAGCCATGTCAACTGACAAATCCCCCACGACCCTCTGGGAACCACTCAGATCCATTAGCTCCTAGGGGTGGACCATCTTAATAGGTCCCCCACCCTTGTGGAGGGGAAAAGCTGCCATCAGTCTAAATCTCAGTAGGCAGTGATCTGATAATGACAAAGGGGCTAAGACCAAGTCCCCTACAGTCAGAGAACCACCCTCATATCCAGATGAGAAGATCAACCCTGCTACATGCATTGGGCCAGTGACGTGTTGGGACTGTTCTATGGTTGCCATGGCAGCCATTAAAACCTGAGCCACTCCAGGTTAGGGTTGGGATATCCTCAGTGTAAATATGGAAATCCACCCCCCGCCCCCCCACGACTATCACGTCTACCCTGATCCTGAACCACATACTTCTGTGAGAACAACTGGGAGAGACTAACTCCTCCCCGTTCATCCACCCAGGTCTGTTATACATGCCAGATAGTCTGCCTCATCCACAATTAAATCATGGATGAGGGAAGTTTTACCCTGCAGCAGCTGAAGACTCAAGGGCAGGTTGATATGGCAACCAATAAATCCATGGCTGGAGGGAGGAGCAAAACAAGGCACAGCTATTAGCAGTCTAGGCTGTGTTTCCCTTACCTGGCCCATTCTCCTCCCAGCACCATATCTCCCTCTATGGTGATCAGGACCCCCACTGGGCCCCACAGCCACCCTCTCAGCCACAGCTCCATGCACAAGCCCACAAATGCAGGGGAGGTGAGGGAGAAGTGGACAGGCACCCTACCCTTGTGGCATCCCACAGTGGCCCACCCCCTTTGGTGTCACCCTCTTCAGGGACACCAGGGGCAGCCCAACCACCCAGCAGCAAGCCTATCTATAAGCCCAGGAAGAGGCTGGTGGAGAGCCAGACAGGTGCTTCCCCTCTGCAGTGATGGTCACCTCCAACGAGGCCATGAAGATGGCTGGAAGGCAGCGGGCAGGGGGCAGCTTGCAGCAGACATGTTAAAGGGCAAGGAGTCTTCTCCCCAGCAGTCCCATGCCTCCTCACCAGCCCTGGAACTAGATGGGTGTTCCTGCAGTGGAGTGTGGAACTAGACTTCCTGCAGAGCTGATGGAATAGCTGCTGGCAGGTGGCAGCTGAGAGAGAAACCTAAGGGGGATGACAGCAATGTTGCAACAACAAGGTGCCATAGTCAATGTGCTATATCAGCTTTCCTGGATCTCTTACCTGAATTCGTATCACTGCAGCAAACAAAAGCTAATTCTTTACACATTTCTTTGAGGGTACATTCTGTCGAATTCATTGGGATTTCTAAGTAGGCATGTACAGGTTGTCGTGTGGACTGGAGGTGATGGTCTTCTTAAAATACTTTACCTTCCAGGGGAAGAGGCACTTGACTGCTTGAAATCATGAGGTGATCTTATTTTAGGCAATTGATTAGATTCAGTTGAAGACAGCTTCACTGAGTCAGATAACAGCTCATGCATAAGGGTGAGGGCTTCAGAGATTCGACGATTATAATGTTCAGTTAATAAGGCCCTTAAGAGGAAAAATCAAGATGCCTATGAAATTTGTGTTTACTACATAATTGAAGAAGTCTTTTTTTTTTTAAACTGACATTTCCTTTAGCTTACTAAAAGAAGCCTAAAAGCCTTTTCTTGATGGATTTTTTTAAAAAGCGTTGTTCCTGTTCCATAGGTACAATAGTGAAAGACTATCATCCATCACCAGCACAGAGAGTTTCATCCAAATAGTAACAGAGTCATTGAAATCTATGAGACTTGCTAGTTATTGCTAACTTATATCCCCTTGTTTTCAGAGGACATATTTTGACTTCCTTAGGGTCCAATTAAAGGTGTTTTCAGGTACCTTTTAATCATAATTTGTAAACTGTACTATGGGTAATTTCCCAGTAACTTCCTTGCTTCCTATTACTGGGCTTCAAAATGTTACTACCTCTGACAGACAAAACCTTTCCAAAGCCTCCCACTGCTTTCTACTTATTTTTAGTTGGCTTTTCCTCTGTGTTTCCGATTTCCATGGTAATCAGAATCAACCAGGAGCCTGCCTTTCTTCTTATAAGGTCCATTTCAATGGGACATAAAACTTGCCAAGTCTTCTAAGAAATTTTTCGCTCTCTGAGGGAGTGTTTTTTCCACTAACCCTGTTTTTCAGCAAAACACCAGGTTTGGAATGTCATCTCAAGCCCTACAAGTCAACTACTTTTACCAAGAAGAATTATTTCATTCTATTATATATTATATATCTGTAGAATGAAAGCTATATAAAAGAAATCCATTAATTTGCAGTGATTACAACAGATAATATTAGCAGTCAGAACAATAGAGAATTAAAGGATTAGAATGAGAATGGAAAAAAACTTACTTATCTTTCTCATCTTTCTTTTGCTGCTGTAATTCAATATCCCGTGTTGTAAATCTAAGTGGCTACAAAAGAAATTCAAATAAATATTATCATCTCCTTTATTTCTTAAAAACTTTTCTTAAAACAGTACAGGAACCTTTTCTGAGCTAGGATTTAACAATGGTGCCCCAGAGAAAGGTCATGAAATGGCCACTGGACAACTGGTTGCCTTTAAACCTTCTGAACCAACAATCACAAACCGTAACTGTACTTTCATCTAGAAAAAAATTAACTCTTTGTGCAACACACTAGAAATTGCTTTTAAATAACTGCATTGAAATTTACTACTGTGATTCCACAATAGTCACTACTAAGCACTCTAATACACCAAGACTATATTAAGTACTTTTAAAATGTTTGCTGCTGCTTTCTTCCCAGAGATACTTGGGTAAAGAGCACACATAAGATAGCAGGGTTCCAACATTATTTTTAGACTGTCCACTATTAAAAGTGCAGATCAGATTTGGCTGCTTATTTTCAATAACTATGAACTGTAACCCTCTCTGCATCTCATTAAGTAATTCAACCTTCCCTCATCTGGTGCCTTCCAGATATTTAGGATAACAACTCACAGCATTCCTGACCATTGGCCCAGGTGGCCTGGGACTGAGTGAGTTGAAGTTCAAAACAACTAGAAGTCATCAAGTTGCAGAAAGTCGAGTTATTCCCCTCTGTAGGCCCTGAGTGAAGATTCCCTGAACCTTTCCTTATGCACTGTATTAACCACAACTACCTCCCTTTGTGGTTACCTGCCTCCCTATCTCATTCATTTCCAACAATACAGTTCAAAACAGGAAATCCAGTTAAGTCTCTTAATTAAATCAGCCTATAACATCTGTATGTCTAGCTTCTCAATGCCAGCGCAAATAAGAAGCTTTGCACTGATTCTAGAAAACACCCAAGTTTAAGATGTGGAAGGGCAAAGAATTCCATGGCACTGGGATTGCTTCTCAGAATTCCTCTCTGAAAATATTTTCAGGGCTGGTAGAGTAGTAATGATTAATCCATGGGTTAAAAGAGCAGGCTTAGAAATTATACCCTCTCTCATTCCACTCCCATCTATCTCAGATGTGATCTCACAGTTCAATGTGCCATAATTAGCCCACAATTCAGTGTACGCCACTACCATTTTGAATAGATAAGCTTGACTGGAGGTTGTCCAACTGTGGAACATTACTGTGGCTTGATAATTCAGCATAAATAAGCTTACCATTTTTTTCCTCAAATGAAATGGATTATGTTCTTTTGCCCTTTGTTCAGCCAGTGTTTGCAGATATTCAGCTAGTCTTTCCTTTCGCTTTCTTTTCATCCAGGTCTGTAACTCTTTTCTATCTTTTTCTATTTTATGCGAATGTCTACTCGCTACCCTTGAGAGGCTGAAATGAGGCATGAAATAAAACCACAACAGAGATGCTGATATATTACATTTTACAACATGATTGTTAATATATATGTTGGAGGAAAAACTTGTAAAAGAAACACACAATCCCCAAGCTCTACAAGGATTTCAAAAGTACACACAGTTATATTTAAAATAAAAACCATCCCTGATTTTATAGCATCAGTATAAAATTAGTAAGGGCAGTGTAATAACAGGAATCAAAATGACAGTACATGATTATTGGCCACAGGACTAAACACACACACTATGGGCCTTATTGCTACAACTTAATCTTTTAGTTGTATACATCTATATTTAACTATGATCTGCCAATAGTAATCCACATATGGAAATAGATTTTTGTTTGTGTAGGTAATGCAGCCGCATTACCTTTTGACTCATGTGGGCTAATTATTTCCATCCACGGCCACCAGTTATACAGCACATGAAAATCGGATTGGAGTCTCACAATATAAAATTCTGGGGGAAATATGAGTGCCTACACCCATATGCAACTTCTTGCATCATTGGTGTGTAAAGCACAAGACTTAGCAGCTCAGGATGCTCCCATGAAAAACATGGAAGCTCATCCACTGAAGGTCCAGATAACAGTATCTTTCACTTGCAATTCTCCTGTGTTTTCCCGCTGCTTCTCCTTTCCTTTCTCTTTCCATGACATTAAGGAAGAAAGGACCGTCTAGCTGCATGTCTTGACTTGTAGCAAGAGCCTTTTGTCTCAAAGCACCCTTTGTCTCAGTAAAGGTGTACATTTAACATTACCTGGAGACTTTTTTAGACTGTATTTCTGTGAGGCCCAGTTCTGAAGCAGAAACGCCACCCTCAATAAGATCAGTGATAATGTCAGAAACTCCACTCAAGCCAGTGATCTGTAGGCAATCCTCTGAAACGCTAGAAAAAGTGAATATTACTATAAATGGGAAACCACTTCTAAGAAAATCTAGGGGCAAGCTGGACAATGTGTTAACTGTATGGCTCAGAAAAATAATTTTAAATTTCATTCCTTTCCCCCCAGCCAAAATCCCCCAGCTGTTATTTGCCCTAGGATGATAACCGATACTAGCACCTGTAGCAGTTTCCCTCCAGGAAGAAAGAACAGGATGGGTGAAGGGTTAAAAACACTCTTCTGTCAATAGACTTAATCAAGCAGCTATAAAAATAATCCCTAAAGACCTGGGCATGTTTAACTCTCCAGGTGTACACAGGTTGTGCAGACACACTCCAGGTGTCTGCACAACCTACTAGCTCTATACATCCTACCTGGAGTTTGATAGGGCTAGGTGTGAACTATATGGGTTGGTACTAGGCCAAAGTGTAGAAGTGAAGCTGTGGGAAGCACAGAGCATTGAGATGCAATGTCTTAAGACAAAAAGTCTTAAGATGAACGCTACATTCCTGAATTTAATTGCAAATTAAGGGGAAGTGCCATTGACAAAGCTCTCCATCTAAAACTATTTTTAATCCAAACTGTGGTGTCATTGAGGATCTTAGTCAATAGCTTAGCCTCTGCTTGGTCTCCTCATCCTTCTTCACCAGACACCTTTGTTTGGATGATGGTGGATAATGTGATGCACTTCACTGTCAACAAGATCAGGTAGGTGTTAGGCTATTATCCAATTTTTGTAATGTAGAACCTGAAAAAACTGGAGGTAGTCTGTGTCCATAGCATTTTTTTCTAATGAACCAGGAAACATAGACCTTTGGTTGCACTTTCCTCTGAAGTCAGCTAATTAGAAGCACCCCCATTTCTTCTCCTTTCCTCCCAAGTTATCTATTTCCAGGCCCATGGCTCACTATTTTCAATAGTACTCAAGTTTCTTGGTCATCTAACCTCCTAGTCCCCTGCTCTGCCACTTCCATAGTGCTATCTTCCCTTTCTTATTTGGTAAACACTAATATCCTCTATTTTTGTCCTATCTTATCTCCTAAATTAGGCCTATGAGAACTTTTATTTATATGGATTCTTCTCATTTCAGAATAACTTTAATGAAATATTTACTTATACATACCTCTCATCCAGTTCTCCTATTCTAAATTTGATATCTACAAAAGAAACAAGAGTTCATCACTAAAATATATCTGTAACATTATGTGTATGATCCACAAGAGAAGCTTCCATTTGATACCCTCCAGATGTCTTGGTACTACAATGTCCAACATTCTTAATCACTGGCCATGCTAGGTAGGGTTACATTAGGGCTTGCAAAAGTAATTAATAATTCTTTATTAGGCAGTGCTACATTACTCAGAAAACTATCAGCTTAATATCAGAACTATAGTAAAAATCACCCACCCAAGAGGAATTTACTTTTCTACTGTGATAATACTCTGAAATAAATGGTATAAGCAGTGCTACTATCTTTATGTTAAATGGCATCCCACCAAATTTAAAGTCATCTGGGGATGAATGGACCAATCCTTGGTCATGGCATCAAGGAACATACCATCAGATGTTTTTGTTATGTGCTAGTTCAAGACCTCAAGTATCCAGCCATGGCATGATATCATCAAGAGTACAAGTGTTGTCATGTGCAACACTACTGTCACCTCAAGTCTTTGTGTGAAAGTGTAACGAGACAAAGTAGAGTGCCTTTTGCATGGGATATAGATAGGAAACTATTATATATATTTTAGCAATTTTACTTTTATCTTCTAAAGATGGATGGTTGGATACAGGTTTAAGCCAGAGCAACTGAACTGATGGAGATGGATTTAAGCAGCCAGCCTAGAGGAATCAGGCCTGTAATTATGGATCAAGCCTACAATGGCGCTAAGCAAAACTAGTATCTTAATCACAATTCAGCAAATTGAATTGATAGAGTTAACATCAGCTCAGAGTAGACATAGCACTTTATCTAATGTTGTCTTGCTTTAAGTAGTTCCACTGCAAGTTATAGGACTTAAGTTAGACTAACACTGAATACAAACCCACACTTGAGAATTTCAACAGATATTACGATTTTATGGGTGCTCATCAAAACAAGTTAAGAACATGAAAAGAGGCATGGTGGGCCATCCAATCCAGCATTCTGTCCACACAATGGTCACAGGAAATCCACAGACAGACAGGAGTGAAATAGTACCTTCCTGCCCAAGTTGCCCAGCAAATATAGTACATAAGCATACTAGTCTGATATTGGAGGTACCAAATAGCAGTGGTTTTCAACCTTTTTACAGCTGGGAGACTAGCAAAAATAGGAAACTTATTTTGGGGACCTCTGAGGCAGAAATAAAAAGCATTGTATACATAATATAGTATTTTGCAAATTAGTTTTTAAATATAGTACCAAAAAAAATTCTCTAAAATAATCTTTCACAGTCCAGCAGGAAATGCCGGTGGGCCGGAGCTGGTCTGTGGGCTGGCAGTTGAAAACCAGTGCCATATAGTTATCAGGTATAGTAGCTATTGACAGACTTATCCTCCACGAATTTGTCCAACCCCTTTTTTAAAGCTATCCAGTTTGGTGACTGTTACTACATCTTGCTTGAAAAGGATTCCATAGTTTAATTATGCACTTCACAAAGAATTATTTCTTTTATTCATCTTGAATCTCCCCACCAATCAGTGTGATAGGTGACCACAAGTTCTGGTATTATGAATTTCCCACCAAGTAACTTCATACTGCTAGAATCTGAGGTCATCCCATGAAGCTATTTGGTAAGAGACTGATAACAGATAAAAGAGTTTATTCATTGAGTGCATATATAAACTATGGAATTCACTATCACAGTTACTAATGATGGTAACTAATTTGAATTTCTTTTTAAAAGTATTGGATAATGGGAGGATAAATCTATCAATCTCTAATTTTGATGGCTAGATGCTGTCTCTAGTATCAGAGGCAGAATGCTTATGTGCACTAGTTGTTCATTTTATTATTACATTTACATCTCACACTTCCTCAAAACAGCTCAAGGGAGTTAAACATACAAGTTAAGTTCAGAGCTTTAATTCAGCTGTTATGAAAACATGGCTAATACTAAAAATGCTTCCTAGAAACAACAGACAGCACAACTGCTTAATTTCTGAATCAAAGTAAAACAAACAAGTACAAAACAGTACCAGTAGATGTCTTTTTATCAGTGGGAAGATTAGCAGCAGATGCTGAAGAAGAAATAGAAGGTGTCTGCAAGACAATGTAACTGCTTTGTGAAGGTTCAGTTTCTGAGCTTTCGGCCACCTCTATTAAATTCTCTACACGTACATGACTTGAGTAATGTTCTGTTTCAAAAGAAGAATAATTGAAACCAGATGAGCTTAAGTTTAGTTTAAAAAATGTACAAGCAAGTGTTCAACCTCCAGAGTAGGCAGACTAGGGGTCAACATGCAAATCCATGATGAGGTGGCAAGTCAGCCCATTCTTGTCCTGAACCCATGAACCTTCCTCTCTTACTGGTGACTACTGTACACTGCATTTCCCACAGTTCTACCAAGGGAGCCAAAAACACCAACCTTCTTTGGAAAGCCTAACACCAGATGCAAAGAAAGAAATGTCATCCTCTCTTGGCTCAGCTTCCATAACAGCATCTACTGTTTTCACTAGCTGGAAAAAGAAATTACACTTTCAACAATGCTATTTAACGGAGGTATTCCAACAGGACAAATATACAATTAATGTATGCATAAAGTTATTCTACTCTTGGAGGAACTAGAAAAGATCATCTAGGTTAAGATGTTCCACTGAAGTCCAAGGTAAAGAACATTCACACTATTGTATTCCTGATCACTATGTATGGGTGTGAAAGGTGGACAATGAAGAAAGCTTACAGAAAGAAAATGGATACATTTGAAACATGGTGCTGGCAGAGAGCTTGCAAATACCCAGGACCAACAAAAAGGTGAACAAGTGGGCCCTTGATCAAATCAAGCCAGAACTTTCCCTGGAAACAAAAATTATGGAACTGAAGCTGTTGTATTTGAGTACATCATGAGTCAACAAGACTCACTGGAAAAGACTATCATGTTAGGGAAAGTTAAAGGCAAATATGAAATGGACTGACTCCATAAAGGAAGTCATATCCTGTACTTTGACAGGAGACTCTATCCAGACAAGGAGGCATATTTTGGATAGTTGGATTTGCATACCTGCATGCATCTATCAAAAATAAAAAACAGCAGAAACATTTGAGCAAATCCTGGTCTCTGTGGCTGTCTGGCTATGGCCCCAACGAGTTAAGGAAGAAGAGCAAGGGATTCCCGTTGCTTTCGCTTGCTCACTGTTTCCTTGCATCCACCGTGGGATCAGTCACCCAGTTAGGATGACATGGCAACACTTTGCGGTTAGAACAAGCCCTAGAACAATCCAGGGATTGTCAGGGTGGTTGCTGCCTACAAACAAGCCACCCTGTGGGTAGTGGTCCAGGTTGGTACAACATGAGAAAGGAGTGTGGCTAGTTTTCCACAATGGGTTGCTGTGTCATGCAAACCCAGTCTATATTTTTATGCATCAAATTGTAGTACTTGTAAAATGCATTTCTTTTTAAATTTATTTATAACTTTTCTATACTGTCCCATCACAGATGTCTCGGGACAGTTTACAACAGACTGTAATTACCATTTAAAAATATTTCCTTTTCAAAATACATATAATATTGATCCATTTAATTTTTATCATATTTCTCACAGGAAAAAAGAAAGCTCTGAACAGAAGAAAATAAATAAAACACATATACCAATTTGGTATTCCTAAATTCTTTCTCCATTCTTTCTGCCATGTTCTGTAGGGTCAATAGTTGTCTATTCATTTCCTTTAGTTTTGTAGAGAACTGCTGTTTGCTAATTTTTCTGGCTAAGAATTCCGTGGAGGACTTAGTGCTGAAATCTTCATGTAGAAACCTCAAGGTAAGTGGATCTCCAGAAGCCTCTGTCTCTGGTGACACTTGTGGTGATTCACTTTGAAGAATATCTACTTGACATTTGAAAAGAAAAAAATGTTGAAGCTTGTCCCATGCTATCAGTTTAAAAATCCAGCATTTTAAATAATTACAGCTTTTAAATAATTGCTTTCTCACAAAGTCTCCAGAAAGTGGTATGGAACAATGAAATACACTGTTTTCTAATACGAAACAAAAGAAGGTTAGAAGTACACTTTTCTTAGGAATGAAGTTAAGTTAAATAGTATTAAAAGGAATACATTTTAAAGCAGCCAAAATATTAAAGATGTTCACCTTCATTCTTGAATTCTTCTGGTGGAATTACATTAGTGACAGATGCTGCCATGTGATGCAGTTTTGCAGAAGTAGGAAATTCAGTCTTCACAGGTTGTGCAGTAATGTGTTTTGGAACAGACTCAAACGTATCAGGTAAATTTTTCAGAAAATCATCATTTTCTATATCAACCACTTCAATGTAGTTCCTTCCAGTCTAAACCATATTTAAAACAATAGATTATGGGTAGCAAGCAATATTAAAGTATTCAAGATTTTTACAGATAAATCATAGAACTGAACCTTTCTCCCCACAGCTGATCTATTAATAAGACAGGCAGGTATGCTTTTTGACTGTTGCATTATATCACCAAATATTTATCACTACTGACCAAATCCAGTGGAATATCAGACAAGGAAGATGGCAAAGGCTTTTCTGTGACTTCAGTAGGGAATCTGCAGTTCAAGCACAGATCAGGTGGCAATGTCTGAGGATTACCAGAAGGCCAAAGTTCTGTAAGAAGAGAAGGGAAAGTCTAAACCCTATGGGCAGTATATTTCCAAGTGCGATAGAAACCTTATTTTGAAAGAATTAGTAATAACACTGGTACAAATATAGAAAAGCCGAGAATGTACAGTAGCTAAGACAATCAAGATCTAAAGCAGGAGTGAACAACATATATCCCTCCCTCCATTTATGGAATATTGTTTTCAAAAGAGGGTAACTGTAGCATCAATGGAGCACCAATGGTGCTAATAAGCTAATTTTGACCCCTCTCAAGCCTGTATTCTACAAGTGCTAAACAGACCCCTCCTAATTATGCTCCAAGTCAAATCATAATTATTTTTTTAAAAAGAGAAGCCTTAAACTCAATGTAATCCCAAACTGGGCATATGATCTGTCATAGCAAATACATCTGGTCCCTGGGTTAAGAAAGAGTTCTGTTCCTGAGATTGTCTTTAAATGTCAAATCATGTATATAAAAAGCATATAAAACACTTAAGGAACACTTCCATATACACTAAAACATCTTAAATATAATACAGCATTTTAATAATGATAATAATACATCAATAATAAAATAACTACAGGCACTAGAGAGAGAGGGAGAATCTGTATATATATGTGTAGATACATGGTACAATTCTTAAAACAGCAGATAGTAAGAAAGAAATATAGTAAAAAGATTATTAAAGGTTAATACTTCCTGAGCTAACATTAACCCTAATGTTAATTGGGAGATGGCACTGGTGTTGGAGAAGATGGACCTGGTGATGGAGAGACAGGGTTGGATTGTGTTGCTGGAGCAGGGGGTTACCACTGGAGTCGTTTTTTAGTTCTGACTTTGCTACTCTCTGGCAGCACCTGCTGCTTTTTCCTTCCTCCTCCTTTCCCTTCCTCCCTTCTTATTTTTCCCTTCCTTCCTCATCACTAAACACTCACTGACTGCAGGCCCGCTTGCTTGCTGCTCAAGGATGAGGTGGGACTTCCAGGTTTGCTCATTCATAAGTAGGGGTTTTTCTTAACTTGGACATTCGTAACTGGGGGACTGGGTGTAATCATACTGGCAACAAAATCCAACAATTACTGCATTGTACAATATTTACTAAATTCTACAAACCAAAACTGCCTCTTACATTCTATCACAAGTCTCTGTAATTTATACTAGTATTTATCATGTCCACATGATAAGATAACAAAATACAATGGAGGCTGAGAAATAATGGCTTGTCTAAGACTAATAAATGTGTAGCTAAGTTGAAATTAGAACCAAAAGACTTCTAGCTGTTCTTAACCACTATTCAGTCTCTCTCTATAGATATAGATTGTGTGTGTGTGTGTATAACTTAGCCCCCTGAAATATTTAGACATGAGTTCTAGATATTTCAGGGGGCTAAGACACACACACACACACACACACACACACACACACACACGAGGTCTACTCCTGACAGAAATATATGACTAAAAACCTGAACTATATTTTTGAAGCCCACACTACACAAAACATACGAGATGCATTTTAGGATTTCTTACAGCGTATATTTTCTCTTCTTTTTCTTCCTCTGGGTTTAACAGCATGTATGGGTAGATTCTGATTCTGTTTGGAGTGGCAATACTGAGGGGGTGTGGTAAACCCTTTCCCATCTGGGAAAAGAGCAGCTTCAAAGGGGGATTTAGAAGAGAAAATGGAATGACAGCAAAAGTGAACCCTTCCTCTCCCAGTGCCAATATACCCATCAAGTGTAAGAAACTTTCAGAATGAAAACAATTGTATGGCCAGAGGATACATTTTTTTCCAACATAACCTTTTTTCTGAAATCAATGAATAAACTCAAGGAGTGGCAAAGACTATATATGAGCTCCTAAGCACATACTTGAAAAATGAATGACTTTGAAAAATGTCTTCCAATATGTGGTTAACCTGTGGGAATTTGTGAAAATCAGCATGAATTTTAAACATATAGTGATGGGGCGATCAAATTACCTGTGCAAGACTATAGCCATTTTTACACGTTAAAACCTCTCCTATATTTTAAGAAAAATGAAGAGTTTCCTGAATGAAGATACAACATACATTTTTTCCAAAGTACATACAAAGAAATAAATACAAGTTAACACAAATAAATTGACTGGAAGCACACCTGTTACAGATGTAGAAGGGGTGGCTGGATGATTTTTATGATGTAAAATTACTTCACTTGTGACATTTTGCACATCTGGATGTGACTGAAGTACTAGATTAGAAAAAAATAAGTAAAATCCACATTGATTAACCAGCACAAGACAGATCAACATTCTATTACATATTAAAGGAGAGTGATTCTCACAAGAAAGATCAAATAACTTGGGCTTGAGAGTAACTAAAAGATCTAAAAATTTAGAGCTAATTAAAAGATTACATTTAAGTTTGGATCCAGAGTAGCCCCCTCCATAAACAGAACATTCCATAAACAGAATGCTGGGCAGTTGAGCAATAACTCCTGGTCATGGGAAAGGTAGTGTAGGCACTACATTTTTCATTTATTTTCCTTTCAGCACCTACAGTGCTATTTTGATGATCCCTACAACCTTCCTGAGATGCTTAGGCAAAAGGTGACACAGGGGACTGGAGAGAAAGTATGGAATCAATCAGTTTTCCATTTCTGTAGTAGGAGATTTCCTCAAGTGAATTGTATTCACAAGGCTCTGGATGCAATAGAGCATGTGCACATTTAAAAACATCAACCAGTACAGTTAACACAAACAGACAGAAAGCACACCTGTTACAGATGCAGAAGAGGTGATAGGTTGATTTTTACCAGGTTCATAATCTATTTCTTCTGAGACAGTTTGAATATCTTGGTGCAATTTAATTACTTGATTGACAAGAAAAAATCAGGAAACAATAAAATCAAGATAAATCAATATAAGGAGAAATAGTTCTATTAACTTATCAAAGAGTAATTCCTAGGGAAAACTAATTAATTTGGCCTGAACAGATACAGCTTTCAACAAACATTAAGTTTGATATGTAATATACCAAAAATATTCTTATTGTCATTTCTTCTACAACTCCTAGGCTACTAAATTCTTCAGAAATGCCTAACTGAACTCAGTTCTGAACTAACATACTCTTTATAGACACTCAAAACCTGAACTGAAAAAAGCAGTTTCAAAAGTTTTTTAAAAAATAACACAGCAATTTCTTGCAAATATTTTACCAGCATCTGTATTTGTGCTAGCATCTTGAAGATCAGCAGTCCTTTTTCTTACAGAAGCCAAGTAATGTAACTCTGCTGAAGAAATAACTGGCTCTGGGTCTAAAATAGAAGATCATATGATTACTATGCAGATTAAATGTTGGGAAATTATCTCATTCTCAACAGCTGCTGCTAACTGCATTACTTCAGCTATACATTTAAGATGAAAGCATAAGAATCTTTGCAGTACAGTACTCTTGCTCAACTGCCTTCTCTAACATAAGCTTGCTTGATTGCTACATTTGTCATCAAAGACTTTTCTTTGCTAATCAACTGACCAGGACTGCATGGAAGGGAGATGAATATGGCAGCACCTTTGGGTGCCAAATTCTAATGGTACCCCCTCCAAACATGGTAGTGGAGTTCTTGCACCTTTGCCCTGCAGGCTGCCCACCCATCCATTTTGCCCATTTCTCTTGCTTGGTGGATTCTCTGAGCCTGAAAGAATGATCAGACAGATTCTCTGAAAAGCCCACAAGATCCAAATGCCATGCTTTGAGCAACACATTCTGAGTGAGGTGACCATGAAAACGGAATGTGCCGTGGCAATGCAGCCAGTCTTCATAGCTAGAGCCACTTCATTTAGAATGCCTCACTTAGGAGAGAAGAAGAGAGGAGGCAGTAATGGCAGCACGTCCACTAAGTTGTTCTTGAGGATTCTGAAGGAGGGGACGATATGAAAGAGCTCCGCATCTATCCGTGACAAGTAAAGAATAAAAGTATATTAAGAAGTCACCATCACCTAATGGTAAGCCACTTCCTCTGCTGCCTGTGAAATGCTCATCTCTAGTAATAATCCTGTGAGATAGGTCTTAATAACCAGCATCCAATACTGCTGCTGTGCTACCAGGAATGACCACTAGTAGAACAGGCAATTAACTCAAAATTAGTACTTCCTGAATTGAAATACTTAGCAAAGGATGCAGAAGGAAGCTCTACTGAATGTAATTGCTAGGTTTTCCATTTCTCAACATCATTTTGTAGGAAATACTCACTTAGTAAGGAGTCACCATCACCAAGGTCATAGCTCAATTCTTCTTGGATGCACTAACATAAGAATAAGTATAATTAAATATAGAAAGATGCTGCTAGCAGCTAGCATACTAAATATTATTTAGTGTGCGCAGCTAAGATACAATAAGTGTGCTATACCTTTCAATTAAAGTATAGCACCCAGTTTATTAAATTGCTTAGCTTCCAAAATTCTCACTATCATCTTAAAATACTACCTAGAACACATTGGTGGGCAAGGGAGGGGGAATAAAATATGCTCTGCTTTGATTAATCTATCTAGTTTGAAAGATTTGTTGCATCTGAACAAAATTTTATTTATGTATTCTGATGGCTTATTTCATAGATTAAGTGCTTCAGAATTGTACTGCTGTAGAGCCACATAAATTGGCAGAACAGGTTTGTCCTTATGCTTTCCACTGCCTTTCTCTCTATTTTCCTAAAGAGTTGCTTTCAACAGTTCATTTGGGCTGTAAAAACTGTGCTTTCTTAATGCAGTAAGTACACTGCAGTTTTGTCTGGGAGAAAATAGTTCATGAAATACAGAGGTTAAAAGGGGAATTATCACTACACTATACTAGAAGCTAAAGGGAAAACTCTTCTCTTCCTCCTCTCCCCACACTCTTCCTCTTCATTTCTATACCACCTGTGGCTGAAGTTCTCTGGATGCTGTACTAGAAGACTAGCTAAATATATCGCTAAAAGAACATGTGAGAAAGAAATTTCTGTTCATGATTTCTAAAGTGCATCAGAACTTTAACAGGAATGATACATCCAGCAAAATAATTATGAATGAGCATTCCCATATCACTGTACCTTAGCTTGCTGTTCAACATCAGTTAAAACAACAGAATAACCTTGTTGAAAATTCATGGTTGTTTTCTTCCTCTCATCCTTCTCCTTGATCTGTTTCTCAACACGTCTCTTCTCCCTATCATCACATTAACATTTTAATTAAAAATAATAATTACATCCTGATTTAAGAAACAACAGGCTATCTTTGTTAAAAGGCTAGTAGGCAAATTCCCAATATTATTAAAATGCCAAGGCCAGTTCCAAAGCTGAAGAGTTCTGAACAAGATGCCCTCTGGTGGGTTCCTCCTATGTCAGTATGCGTCCCCGTCCCCACGCTGACAATAAGTGCACTTAGAAAAAGCACCATGCAGATGGGAAACTACCGTTTTAAATCTTCTATAGCAGCTCAGGGCACCTAGCATTGTTGCAAGTCACTATAGGAAACTTAAGGAGGCCAATGGAGTCTTTTGGGACCCTGACAGCAGCTCAAAGATGCCCACTTCTGATGCCAGGCAAGTAACAGATGGCATTTAGTGGGCAGGGGCAATGACACTATTTCATAGTATGAAAGGGAAGAGGACACTACTCTACCCAAGGCAAGAACAAATATTATGGGAGTCTTTCAGAGAGGTGTTCAGAAATAAAAGTGGAAACTGGATGAGCTTAAACACTGATTCTTCTACATAATAGATGGGGACACTGGAACATGAGTTATTTACATGAACATTCTTTTTGGCTAGTGTGATAGAAGCAATCTAACAATGGATGCTTAAGTCTCCACACCACCTAGGAAAGGCAGGGATCACATAACAAAGATCTTTGTCTTATTTGGGTGATCCTCCTCCAGTTTTACACATAGGCTAAAATTTGACACCAAGTTAATTGAAAAGGGAAGGTAGAAGAAACAAAATCCAAGAAGAGAAAAAGCTAGCAAAGGAGCTGAAAAACCTTGCAGCTAAGGGAGGAACAGCTCTGTCCTGGGCAAAAAGCAAGGATGAACTAGAAGAGGAGCCCTGGATCATTGGAACTAGACAATGTATCATGTACTCCTTGCTGTTCCTGGGGAATGGAGCAACCCCACTATCAGATGCTTCCTCACACCAAACTGGGAAGTTGTTAGACTACAACTCCCATCATTCCTGACCATTATGTTGGGCTAAAGGGAGTCTGAATCCAATTTCTGAAGAGCAACAGGTGCTTCCTCACCCATTTTACACTTCTAAATAACTGTTAGCCTGGACCACTTAATGGCCACAGGACCCTGCCTGTCTCTTCCTTTGCTATTCTGCATTAAAAATGTGCATAGGCTTATTTGACTGCATGGCTGATGTTAACAGCCTTGTCCCTTTAGGGTTCAGAGACTATTTCCTGATTATTAAAAGGACAAGGAATGACTAGGGCTAAGAGCTAGCTCCCTTCTAGGAGAGGCTGGTGACTCTTTTATCTATTGCAGCTCTTCTTTTCAACTTCATGAAATCTATCCATTGTGCTCCATTCTGGTGAACCTATTTTAGGGATGGAGTTTCTTCTTAAAAAGCAGGAAGGAATGAACAACAAGAAAAAACAGAATAAAATTCCGTTTGGCAGGCTGAAGGGAAAAGATGTAAGCATTTGCTGACAGGAAAGCAGATGGCACAATCTCTGCGATACTTCTGCAAAAACAGAAGGGATAAAAATTTAGTAGCGTGAAAGAAGGTGCTGAGCTTCCTTTTAGAGTCAGTCCGGTATATTAACATTTTTTCTTCCCTTGAATGAAGGACACAATGATTCTGGACCAGCAACTGACAGCAATTATAGTTTCTTTGCGACATGTCATCAGCCTGAAAGTATAGTCCTTTTCACAGAACAGTAAACACATTGGCACTGACATGATCAAGTTTAAATTATTGGTAGGTATGACAAAATAAAGATAGGCAGCACTCTTTGCTCTTACCTTTTATTTTTCTTGTCTTGCCTTGCTTCACATGGTTTAATGTTACATTTTAATAACTGATGGTTTTTATGTTCAATAAGTGGGGATTGGACATCCTGACAGCTTTGCTCAAATGCAAGGAGAGTTTGAAGTGGTATGAGCTTTGGTGTTTGAAACTGTTTGGCAAAGCAAACAAAACAGTTGCATTAAGAATCTCTCTTCCAATTCTGTGGTAAGCAGGGTAAGTAGAAAATGTCAGACTCTGATACAAGTCAAAACATTTAACTTCCAATAATGTAATGGATGAAGCAAATAGCATTTGGTGGAGAATCAAGCATAAGAGACACTTAAAGTGAGCACTTAAATTGCATGCCCATATTTTTAAGAAAGTATTAACATTTTTATTCAAAATGTTATATTTATCAAATAGATTACCTTGGTGAGTTGAGGCAAAGTAGCATAAAGTAATGGTAATCCTGTCTGCCCAAATGGATCTCTGGAATCTGTCACCATTCTTGTATGTTTATCAGGCATTAAACTGGAAGCTTCTTTGGTCTGTGAGCGGGGCTTCAGATATAGCAGGGGAATTTCAGTGAAATGTTTGTAAGATTTATACAAGGGAAGTTCATTGTCAACCAGTCGTTTCTCTGCCCTCAGATGAGCATAAAAGTGCTGTGAAGATGCCATGTTTCTCTTCTTTTCACAGTCATCCAGAGGAAGATACATAGAAGTCCCTGTATTTACATTTTCTGCCCAATGGCTCATCTGCTCTTGTACTTGCCTTACAACTTCATGGTTGCAGTTGTTCAAATTTAGCTGTGCTGTTCTCCCACTGTTGTGCCAGGACACCTGTAAATCCTGAGGATTTTTTACCATAGGGGGAGGTGCAGCAGGACCCCAAGCTTCCCTTTGTTGTGGAAATGGTTCAGCGAAAGATTTGGGAAAGGCCACTGGGCAAATATTGAGTGGCTGGAACTGATAGTTTGATTTAAGTTTAAGCAAAGGAAACCCATCCACATTGTTTGAGGGTTTTGCCAGTGGAATAAGCTTAGGCTTCTTCTCAGCATGCAGTGAAGCAGTTAATAAAGGCAGTGGCCTAGTTGTAACTTGATGAAGCAAGCTTTGAAATGGAGGAATCAGCCTTGCACCACTGGACCTGCTCCCTGGTAAGCCTGAAGAATTGTTGATGTGTGCAGAATTCTAAATGAGAAAAAATATTGTGATATTTATATAAGATTTACAGATATTGTCTTGCTATATTAAGGCAAAAATAATGAAGGATAGCAGAGCATATAAGATAACTTCTTATTCTGAAAACGCAAGTGTTTACTTACTGAAATATTTCCATTGTGGCTTTGTTCATGTAAGTTCTTCTTTTCCCCAGGACTGGTATGTTCCTTATTAACATTCCATGTGTTTTCTAGAGTTGGAGACTGTGCTTTTGGAAAGTCATCTGATTGATGTTTAGGGAGAGACTGACCTACATTGGTCCCTGCATCATTTGTAGCCTGGTTTCTTCCCAACGGAAAGGGCTGTGACTGCTGCATTTGTTGTGACAGATTTGGCAGACTGGCAAAAGATGATCCCACTATTTGCATGAGGCTCATAAAGTTGATCTGCTGCAGCTAGAACAGAAATTAAGATTTGCTAAAATGTGTCTTGACCAAAATCCATCAACAAATATTTGTAGTTGCATAATTATCCTATTAAAACAGATAGCAACTGAAATACTTTCCTGCTTCCTGGTCATAATTTGCTTCTTATTCTTCAAGTGGCACAAAATTATCTAAGAACAGTGGAAACAGCAACTGAATAATACCAAACATTCTACTGGATATCTTCAAAAGTGTTTATTACCATTTCAAGAGCAAAGTTTGGTCCTGTACAAATAATGTAAGTACAGTTGCTGCAAATGCAGATTTTTGTACTGGTATAGGAGTATAATCAATTAATATACTTCATTAATTTAAATTAATTAACAAATTAATTTATTACAGTGAGTTTTCTCAAAGAAACTGTTTAAAAAACACAGCACCATTTCACAAGTAGAAGCTCTGTACATTCATCTAGATATCTAATGCAAGAAGAGAAAAGAAGTTGCTTACTAGGGTTCTATCAGTGGTCATCTGTGTATTCACACATACAGGCTCTGTACCTGTGTGAAGCCTTATTTCAAAAAGCTTCTATAGCTGAGGATTTCCTTGAGAGAAATCCTCCCCCACCAGAATAGCACATTTATGTATTTTATTTATATCCTGCCTTTTTTCTTTTCAAGAAACTCAAGGTGGCTTGCATAATTCTCTCAATCCTGTCCTCACAACAACACTATGAGGTAGGTTGGGCTAAAAGTCTTGACTGGCCCAAAGTCACCCAGTGAATTCCATGGCTGAGTGGGAGCTAGAACACAGTTCTCCCAAGTCCCAGTCCTGAACTCTTAACCACTACACCACACTGGTTCTTGGCATCCACTTGCCTCTCAGCTATCGTCAGCACAACGTAGGATTGCAACTTAAATGAACTAAAATGAATTATATTATATTTTAGTCAATTCTCTGTTCGGTCATAAAATAACATGAAGAAACAAAGTTCTCCACTTTGGGGAAAGGCCTTTATATTCATTCATGCATCCTTCAGGAAGTTCCTGGTAGGTTCCTGCCCATTTTCTTTCTTCTTCCTGAGAGCAGACATTGTGGCCCCATAAACAAAAGAATGTTTGTCATCAACACTGAAGCACATATGGTGACTATACCAAGCATATATTCACTTCAGGTATTGCCACAAAACTCTGGTGCTGAAGTGGGAACAATGGGTGACTTGTATGAATGAACAGAAGACCCTCAAACAGTTACAGCTAAACAACCTGTCCTTCTTTGTTGCCTCTGCATTATGCATATGGGCAATTAGCAACCTGGTTTATCAGTAGCGGGAAGGTGTCATTAGTCCTATATAATTTAGACAGAAGTACACATGCTCCGAAAGCAGTTGAGGTTGCTGCTCTATGAGCAGAGTGAGCTGTTAATAGTCTTGAAAGTTCCAGGGCAACAGGATGCAAGTCTTCAACTGGGAAGTTCCCAGGAACTGGGAATGCTTTATTCCTGTCCTCATAGCACAAAAAGGGTCTTTGCGTCTTATGATTTGGTAGAACATGAGTGTCAGACTGTCAAGGGTATGTACAGTAAACCAAAACAGCAAGAATGGGAGAGAGAAGGTAGGTATTATAACATCTTGGTTAATATAAAAACTTGAAAGAACCTTTGGCAGGAGGGAAGGATTTGGCCAAATCACCACTTTGTGAAAAGTATGTGGAGGGTACATTTGAACTGCACACAATTCACTAGCATGATGAACACACATGAAAGCCAACAGAAAAGCCAGCTCTCATCATAAACAAAGGCTGACCATAGTCAGAGACTTGAAGGGCTTTGATGTCAAAGCCTGAAGAACTAGACAAACTCCAATGCAGTACTAGAGATTGAACTGGTGGAGCAATGTTTCAAAGTCCATGGAAAAACTTTTGGGAAAAAGTATGAGAGAAACAGAAAAATCTAGCACAGGAAGATGGAACACTGAAATTACTGCCAGGTGAACACAAGAAGATGAAGCCTTGAGCTTACTTTCAAGGAAAAAACAGGAGAACCACTTTTTGACTGGATATCAAATAGTACTGAATCCAGGCTGAGTTGCAAATAATAAATCCTAGAATCTCAGAATCCTAGAATCTCACTTGGAAGGGGCCAGAGGGCCATTGGGTACAATATCCTGCTCAGTTCAGAATTACAAGTTAAATCATCTTTCTCAGATGGCTGTCCAGTTGCATCTCGAATGCCTCTAGTGTGGGACAGCCCACAACCTACCTAGGTAATTGGTTCCCTTAGTGCACTGCTCACACAATTGAAAAGGGAAGGGGGGCAATTATGCTTTAAAAATGTGAATATGAAACCACACAGAAGAAAAAATAATACGTAAGCTACTGTAAGGAACATGATTTAGAGTGTAATGCATAAATAAATAATGCACAAATAACCCAAGAAATGTTCTCTTCCACAAGTGGTTCAAAGATCCCTAGGAGTTTCATTAATTTTAGGGAACTATTCCAGCAGGATCTGTAGCCACTATGTTTGTATCCATATTTTATATAATGAGGTATTTTCACCTGGACCAATTTAAACATTTCATCTTGGAGCATTTGCCTGACAGCCTCTGAAGTGTCTGGTGGTGGTACTTGCAGATCTCTTGCATCTATCTCTTCTTTCTTTGGACCAACAGGATCACTTGGAAGAACACTTGACACAACAGTGAAAGAAGGCTGATCATCTGAGACAGAGATCTCTGTGCTGCAAAGACAGAGGGGAAATATTCTTGTGAAAAACTGAGAAAGTTACAAAACACCTAGATTCTGATCACTTTGCTAAATACGCTAAACCCTATTTAGACCTGTTTCAAACAGAACGACAACCTGTCACCTTAAAAGCCAATTGATTCATTTTATTTGTACTGTTTACATACCACTAAATGTTAACATATATATCTATGCAGTTTCCATATAAATATTAAAATCAAATTAAAATACAATTTTATTTTATTTATTTTTGGATTTATATCCTGCCTTTTTCCTACAAAGGGCTCAAGGCAGCTTACATCTCCTCCTCCATCTTATCCCCACAACAACAACCCTGTGAGGTAGGTTGGGCTGAGAGTCTGTGACTGGCCCAAAGTCACCCAGTTGGCTCCATGGCTGAGTGGGGACTAGAACCCAGATCATCTGAGTCCCAGTCCCATGCTTTTAAAAACTGTACAATTATATAACGTATGCAGAAGCAATAAATAGCCTAGTTAATTATGGGCCAGGGAAAACATGCATTTTCAGGACACATTTGAAAGATATCAAATTGTTGACCACATGACTGTGCAAAGAAATTTTTCTCACAGGGTTTTCCTTTCCAATGAGAAGGACTACCATTGCGGTTTTAGATGGTGACATTTTGGATAGGCCAGTAAGGCCTCCTTGCTGATTTTAATGGCTGGTTAGGTATGTATAAGAGAAGGCACTCTGCTGGGTATCCTGGTGCTAGGCTGTTTAGGGTTTCTATTACAGTAACATAGAGAGTCCCTTCTCCGGGAACCCTCCATGAAAGAAATTAGGAGAGTAAGTACCCGGAGGAGGGCTTTCTCTGCGGTGGCGCCCAACCTATGGAATTCACTCCCCAAAGAGGTCCGCCTGGCACCGTCGTTACTGGTTTTTCGGCGCCAGGTAAAGACCTTTTTATTTAAACATCATTTCAATTGTTAAAACATATGATCTGGCCTGGGCAACTTCTTCTTCCTTCTCTTTCTCCTCCTATATTTTTATTTTATACTGATAATTTTAATTTTGTATTTGTAAATCAATGTATTTTTGTATTGTTATATTTAATGGTAATTTATTATGTACTATTGTATTTCAATGTATTTTATCATGTTGTAAGCCGCCCCGAGGTTTCGGCAAGGGGCGGCATAGAAATGTTATAATAATAATAATAATAATAATAATAATAATAATAATAACAACAACAACAACAACAACAACAACAACAACAACAACAACAATAACATGGCTTGGTAGCAAATGGGAAGCCAGTGCAGCTCTTTTAGCACAGATCTTATTTGGGTATAGCTGGGTATTCAGTGAATGCTCTAGTTGGTGCAACCTGCACCAGCTGCAGCTTCTGAGCTAGATCCAAGGGCAGTGCCACACAGAGTGCATTACCACAGTCTAATTGTGAGGTTATCACTACATTGATTACTGTGGCTAGATTACTCCTATGCAGGAAAAGGAAAGTTGGTGCACCAAGTAAAGTTGGAAGTGGGCACTCTGAACCACTCAAGTCACCTGCGCCTCCAGTGACAAAGACGCATACAGAAACACCCCAAACTATGTTCCTTCTTATTCAATTGGGATGCAACTCTGTAAAGAATAAGGGCAAACTGCCTAGATCCTGGACCATGGAACAGACAATTCATAGGGTCTCTGTCTTATCAGGACTGAGCTTTTATTTATTAGCCTCATACAAGCCGTAACTCCAGCCAGGCACCAGTTCAGAATGTGCATGGCCTCTCTCAATTTAGATCTCACAGAAAAAAGCACTGGTGACTGCTCCCAACAGCTTCATATAGATATTAAATAACACTGAGAACAAGATTGTACCCTGTGGCACCCCACAGTTCAGCTGCCATAGGATCAAGTGCAGTCACCCAGTGCTAGTCTCTGGAACCAATCCTGCAAGCATGAGTTAAATCATTATAAAACAATGACTCCATCTTCCAGCTCATGGAGGTGGTCCTGGAAGATACCACAGTCAATGGTATCATAAGCCACTGAGATATCCTGGAATGGGTTTAGATAATCAGTTTCATTCAAGAGTACCTCCAGCTGAAACACTACCACTCTCTTAAGCACCTTACTCAGGAACGGGGTTTTTGTGACTAAGTAGTGGTTGATATAGATGGCTGGATTCAGAGAAGTTTTTTCCAGGACTGGTCACACCACTGTCTCCTTCAAGGGAGTAGGAACCAGACAGTCACACAACAGATGTGTGGTCCCTCTGGTCAGTCTGCTGAAGCTAGCCCAAATAAGCCATGAAGTGCAAGGGTCAAGGAAGCATTCTACAGACACAAGTGCCTTGTCCACATTTGCAGTCTCCAAAAACTGATACTGATCCCACATCAAAGGATAGATGATGTACTGAACATCTCAGCGGATACTACATCAATAGTGGTTTTTAACTCAGCATGAAGGTGAACAAGTTTATCTGTGGAAGTGTTGTGCAAACGCATTACAGAGGGACACTGAAGGTATAGTATTGGGTATACTGGTTTAAATGAAAGGTCCCCACACAATTTGGAAAAGCTTCACTGGATGGCTATTTGAGGATGCAAAAGAGGTGACAAAGTAAGCCTTCTTTTCTGTCTTCACCACCACACAGTTGTATACAATCTAATACATGTTTGATCACCTTCATGATCAGTCTTATGCCACTTTTGCTCCAGAAATCTTACTTTGACTGTCCAGAGCCCACCAGTAAATCAGGGAGGCTTCTGGCTTCCCAAGGGTAAGGGTATTTCCTGCACTCAGGAAATACTGTGTCAATGGTACGTCACACCTGACCAGTCCATACTGCAACAAGGGCCTTGACAGATATGGCAGCTCTGATTACTGAGCTGAAACTCTCAGATTCCATAAGACTCTAGGGCTGGACCACCTAAATGCAGCATACCCGCCTCCTGCTTTTCTTCCACAGTCCATGACTGGCTCCATCACAGTCTGTGGACCATGACATCCAAATCCAGATCAGTGGACAGTTTAGGGCTAAACAACTCAGTAGTGAAGCCATGGTTTAGATTTCATGCTCCACAACTTACAAAGAAGACAACCTTAAGCAGTAGAGTAACAGCAGAAGAAATAAGGTATTAAGCAAATGGGTTGCTATGCATGAATACAGCTTGTCTTCAATATTTTCACTACCAGAGCAGGTTCTCCAGGCTTGTGCCCACCATCAATCCCAGCCAGCACCAGGAGTTTTAGTTTTTTGGAGTTGTAGTCAAATAAATATGATGGATACTAGGTTTGAGAAGGCTGTGCAAAAGATACTAACTTTCTGGACACTGCCAAATTAGTCGAACTATATCTAAAAACTTTAAATAATAAATAAATGAATATTTAAAGGAGCATCACAACTTAGTTGAATACTCTGTTAGTTTTATCAACCACTGTAAAAGTCAGAAAAGTAGGCTGTAAGTTACAGGATCTTTAACACTGTAAAAGTATGAGGAGTTAACTAGGAACTTACACCAGGAAATTGATTTCATTCTGCAGCTTGATATTAGCAGTACTTCAAACAGTTAACAGCTCCTTAAGCTGTCTACCAACCATGACATCAAGTAGCAAGTTCTTACATGGAATGTGTGACCTGGTGGAACCACTCAGGTTGGTTCACATTAATGCTTGTTTGTGTGGAATTCTTCCCACACATCAGCAATGCTTAAGATTCAGCAGGAATAAAAGCCACTCCTGTCTTGAAAGCCATTGACAATGAAAAGCAGGTTCTTAGGCTGAATGTTGATTACTTGCACTCCATATTAAACCCAACAGTTCAGCTATTAAATGTAAGCACTGCCAAAGTGATACAAGTTTATGAATTGGCCAACTTTCTTATATGAAAAGTTTAACTGGACATGTCAAATGGCCACAGATGTTATAGAATAAGGCAACAAATGACCATTTGTTCACGATATTAAGAACAACCTCTTTTACCTAGTAGGTTTTGTCTTCTCAGGACAGTATGAAAGAGGAATATTGCTGGAAATCACCTCAAATGTAGTTCTGTAAATGCAGAGTGAATAATATGTCAGAAGTTTTTTATCACATCACCTTGATTTGAATACATGTCTATTATTTTAAAATAATTTAAATGTGAAATGGCAAGACATATTACTTACAATGCAAGTGAATTCATTCTCTGTCAAGCCATGGTGACTTTTTATTGTAAACAAACACTGTTACCTTGTTTACAACTTTTGATTGACTATCTCTAGCCTCCATAGCCATTAGCAACTAATGCAAACAAAAGTCTCTAGTTTACTCACACAAATGCTAGGTTACAAAGCTAAGCACACTTAAGTCACCAGAGAGGGCACCATTTAATTTAGCAAAAACAAGAAAAATAAAAGGAAAGCTGGAACTATTTAGATAATCAAAATAAGCATTTCTAAAGGGAAAGTCAATATACTATTTTTCCAAAGGAAAGGGAAATCATTAAATACTGTAGCAAACCCTTTTTATATTTTTTAAATATGAAAGGAGTTAAGTTATAAAAGTGCAATGGATTTTGTGCTTTTACCTTCATCCAGCAATAATAAAAAGCTAGCATTAGTGCCATTGTGCAGTTATTTTTAACCTCAGTAGGATGTGTCTCATGCAAGGAAATGGTTGAATCTGAAAAATCTTGTTTTGGCTGAAATTTTCACCCAGGAGGTTGCAGTCAACTTAAAAATGGCTTTCAGCTATTAACATGTACAGATAATTTAAGACTTAAACATTTCTGAGGCCATGCAAAATGAGAAAATCTGCATAACAATGCTAGAGTCACTGACTTTTTCCTCAGTGGGTTGTCTCCATGGTTTGACCTACTAACTTTGAAAATCATAGCATGATTTTCCTCAGTGAATTTTAATTTTGTTTGCTGGACATATTTAATTTTAGTTAAGAATATTAGCTTTAAAATAAGACTCAAATCATCTGTAACAAATTTTCCTTTTAGGGGAGGGTCTATTGTTTGGGGGTATAAGAATACCACTTAAAGTGATCTCTATGCAGATTCTGGGGCACACTTTTGGGCTGTAGACATGCATGCTTTAGGAAAAAAGCTTTACATTTTTTAGCAATTTGTGAAAATGTCATAGAAAAGTTGGAAGGACTACTTATGTATAAATTATAGTACAGAATGTGAGCTAGAGGGATTCCAGTTATTCCACATTGTGGAATGAGATTTACTGAGTCTCTGAGAGCATACCTTTCAAACTCTGGCATGCACTCAAACAAAAATGACCTAGCAAATACAGCATAGGCTAGCAAATGTGGTATGTCAGCAAGAGAGAGAATTTCTTACCCATCCAACTTCATAAATTCTTCCTCCAGTGTTTCCCTCAATGGTTCTTTCTGTGGACATTCAGCATCTGATATAGACAGTTGCTGCAATTTAAAATGTACTGTTTAAAAACATACTATATACAGGTAATTCCCAGGTTAAGAACAAGTTCCGGTCCCAAGGACATCCTTAAGTCAAATTTGTATGTAAGTCAGATCACATGTGTGAGCCAAATGTTTGCCTTAATATGTGTATATATATTTCTATGAATATAAAACACTTAAGAACACTTATAGAGTTAAATTAGAAACATAGAAACAGAGCGAGTCAGAAGGGGTCTCCTGGGCCATCTAGTCTTACCCTCGCCTCCAGCCGGCTCCGCTCACGACATAAATAATTAGGTAACTATTATTTTTGCATCTATTACAAGATCATGAATATAAGCATTTTGAGTACTTTAAAATACTATATGTTGTTTGCTCTTTTTGTTTGTTCATTTTCTGAATCTATTTCTAAGTTGCTCTGCTAATTTACAATAAACCATAATAATAATAAAATACCACAGTTCCAAACAAAACCAAACCTAAAGCAAAACAGAGAAAATAATCAGAACTTTCTCTCTTTCTTTTTATAGAATTGGGTAATATTCACAGGCCATTGGACACTGTGGAGGGAATCAAGCCTTCAAAATTATTTATTTATTTATTGGATTTTATATTATTTATTTATTTATTTATTTATTTATTAAAACATTTTTATGCCGCCCCATTCGCCGAAGCCTCGGGGCGGCTTACAACATAGATAAAACAAGTTAAAATCCATATAAAATAATCTTAATTAAAACTCACATTATAAAATAAGCCGCCCTGGCCAGATAAAATTCAATTGTATTTAGCATTTAAAATGTTGCTTAAATAAAAAGGTCTTAGCCTGGCGCCGAAAAACAAATAACGATGGCGCCAGGCGGACCTCTCTGGGGAGCGCATTCCATAACTTAGGCGCCACCGCTGAGAAAGCCCTTCTCCGAGTAGCCACCCTCCTAATTTCTCTCACGGAGGGCTCCCGGAGAAGGGCCTCTCCCGCCGATCTCAGGGGGCGACTGGGCAAATATGGATGTAAGCGCTCCTTCAGGTAACCAGGACCCCAGCCGTTTTATATTGGGTTTTATATTGTGCCAAAATGTCTCCAAAATTTTTAAGGTTAATTGTGTGAATGGTATCTGTTTTGTAAGACGCCCTGAGGCTTTTTGCGAATGGGGTGGCATAGAAATGTTTTAAATAAATAAAATAAGCCTGCCAGATTCTACTAAGACAGGTCCCTCTCTCTCTTTCTGCTGTCAGTGCAGCATCATTTCCCTATCAGTAATATGGGCATGCTAATACTGATCTAGTTTCCCTTAGCATTTGCCCTTGTAACCAGGCCTTCAGCTGCTACAAGGCCATCATGATGAGAAAAAGAAAATGGCTGCACAAACAACCCTTGAGGCCTACTTCAAAAAAGCAACTCCAGTGGTAACCCCTCCCCCGCACAGCAGCACAATCCAACTCTGACTATCCAGCACCTCTGCTCTGCCCTTTCCAGAAACTGTTTTGGCATCATTCTGCTTCATCCTTGAGGCCTTACATGTGCCCCAAAACACACTCGCTTGGGTACATTTGAGCTGAACAAAACGCCATCAATATCTCTAGGGCAGTACACAGCCACTGATGATGCGTCGCCAAATGTGTCACATAGTTCCCTAGAGGTACTCATTGTTTTTTCTAGAGATATTCATATAACATTTATAACAGGCTGCATGTTTGTAAGCACAGGTTGTTCATAACCCATATGTTCATAACCTGGGAACTACCTCTAATCTGTTACTGTTACTAGTAGTTACTATTCCTTCTTCCGCCATTTCACTTGTATCCTACTTCTCAGCTACCTGCTAAACTTTCGTAAGTAAATAGTACTCTGGTTATCACAGAGGCATGTACTGCTCTGTAGCCACAACTACGATATGCTATGTCAAAACTACACCACTCTCAGCTTGCTTAAAATTAAAATCTGTAGACACAATATGTAATGGACTGAAAGTAGGCTGGAGCTCAGCAGACCTTTCTACAGACAGTAGCCCAGAACTGAGCACATCAAATGGCTCCTGCCTCTTCCCTGTCAGGTCAGAAGAATGCCCATTTTCCACCATGTATACGGGTCTCCTTTGAGAAGTTTTAAATTCTGCGGCTATGTCTAGTCTTCTTACCATGGTAAGGAGCAGAAAAGGGGGAATGAGAAAACAAATGAATGTACATTACAGTGTTCAGTCCTGACTCATGTTCCTTTAATTTATGTAAAGAATGGTATGAAAACAAGACACATCTGCCATTATCCTAGACTCTACAACAGGGGCCCTCAAACTTTTTGAATAGGGGGCCGCTTGAAAGGTGCCAGGGCAGGGGGCGCAGGCTGGGCCAGGAGGGGGTGGGCATGTGCAGAATGGCAGGGGTATGCGAGCGCAGAGATCGTTTTCTCCCAATGAGTCAAAACGATCTCCTTGCGAGCAAGCTGGCACCTCACCACGAGCTATGGTGGGCCGGAACCAGCCCGTGGGCCGTAGTTTGAGGACCCATGCTCTACAACTAGCCTTGGTCCAAAAGGGGGTGGGGTCATCTGTATTCATAAGAATTACTACTGTGACTCAGAACTTCCACTGAATAATTCACAATTGGCACTGAAAGAAGAAAAGCTTTCTATGTACATTATTTTTTGCAGACTTGAAGTAAGTGGGATTGCATCGCCTTTCTTATGATCTCATGGTAGAAAAACTTTGACCCTTTGCGAATTTGCTTCCTCATCCTCAACAGTCAGTGTCAACATAAGCAATTCCCCAACTTGCTCAGGGCTCAGTTTCTAGAAGGAAAGTGCCTGGGCTGCTCTCTTTATTCACTAAACTGCCCAACAGGCTGTATTATACTCGGTCAAAAACAGACTTTCTTTGCCCTGTATGACAAACTAGAGGTGGTATTTGTATTTTATTTTAAATTTCATTTCTATACTGTCCTGTAGCTGAAGCTCTCTAAGCAGTTTACAACAATGTATAAAACAATAAAATACCATACAAATAACATAAAATGATTTTACATTAATTTAAAATAGCTTTAACAATATTAAAAATACAATAAAAAGACCCACCATGATAATGTCCTTAGGCCCTGGATAACCAAGAACATTGTCCAAGGCCTCCACACAGAGGGCTGTTTTGACCTCACTCCGAAAAGACAGCAAATTTGGCACCAGGCCGCCCACAACAAGAAGAAGTAGCAATGGGAAAAAGTCCAGACTTCCAATTGTTATTATTTAAGGGCAAAGACTGCAAATTTTAAAATGCTATTTTAAAATGATTTTAATAAAACCCACCTAGACATTCAAAACCATTGAAAAATGTTTGCAAGGTTTTTGATACAGTACTCTCTCAAAAGGGAAAAACACTGCCCACTCCAGTCCAATGGCCAAGTTAGCAGCAGCAGCAGCAGCAGCAGCAGCAGCAGCAGCAGCAGCAGCAGCAGCATTTATTGTATTTGTTTGAAAGCCCCCTACTAGCATCATGCTCTCTGGGTGGCCATTACAATAATGTAATGTAACACAGCAGGTAATCCTAAACCCTTGTTTAGTGCTTTGTGCACACGCTTGTGCCTTCTCACCCCCAAATACAGCTTGGTGAGGATGAAGACTTTGGCAGTATTTACATTTGCTTTCACAGAACCTCAGGTTGTCGTCACATATAATCAGAATTTCTGCTTTATAACAAACTCCAGTAAGTAATGGAATAGAGATAGCTCTATTGCTCTGGCACTAGACCTGTTGTGATTACAAATTCATGTTGTCTTATTCAGCAAAAACAATTGCATACATTGGATGCTACAATTTGCTATGAGTTTTGCTAACTTGGCTAATTGCTGGAAGTACAATGCCATTAATGATCTTTTTACACCACCTCTGTAGGAATCTGGATCCACTGTTGTATTACTCTGACACCGAGGAAGTTTTTCCTGATGTCCAGCCTGAATCTGGGTAGTCGCAGCTTAAATTGATTATTCATGCCCATGTACATCATTTTCAAATGATACTTATTTGGACATCTGGTCTACTTTTGTAGAAGCTTATGGATGATTACTAGAAAGCTGCGTACATGTTGACTGATATGGATATTTACAAATCTATACACATATTTACAAATCTGTATGTTTATCTCTCTCTTTGCTTGAAAAGTCACAATAAAAACAAATACAAAAATATTGTGGTAGCGCCTTACCTCTTTTCTTTGCTGTAAACATTTAACACTAACAGAAATAGTAGGACTCCTTGAAACTGCAAATGTATCTTCACAATAGTCTTTGAAATAAACATAATAAGAACAGTTTAATTATTCAAGGGACAGTCTATTTGCTTGCCACATCCCTCCCATCCCAACCATCCCTCTCCTCTTTACATTGCAGTTGCTGTGTTCACTGCTACGGGAAGTGGTGATGGTCACTAATTTGACGGCTTTAAAAGGGGACTGGATGAATTCATGGAGGAGAAAGCTATCAATGGCTACTAGCCTAGCTAGCTATGCGCTACCATCATTGTCAGTAGTGGCATGCCTGTGGATACCAGTTACTGAGGTGTCTGGGTAGGTAGAACTCTTGTACCCATCCTGCTTGAGGGCTCCTGTGGGCACTCTGACTGAGGCACTACCTGGACACTACCTATGACACATGGTTTTTCTGCCCTGTGACTTCTCATGGGGGAAGGCAAAGTGAAGCTGGCCAGGGACCTCCTTTGCAATTGGAAGTGGCTCAACTAGCACCTGCAAAAACTCCAGCAAGTGCTGTCCAGATGCTCAGCCTGGCTGTGCACATCCTTTGCCTTCCCTGGAGAGATGAGCAAGAACACTCAGAATCACTTGCAGGAGCTCCTGTAAATACCCTCTGAATTCCTCTTGCTACTTTCAGTCTGATTTCAGGCAACAAGGGAATTCCTAATTACCCTTCCTGAAACACATGAAGCAAATGTCAACAAAAGCTCCAGTGTTTTAACAATTGTCTCTGTTTTCATCACAGACAGAAGAACCATCTGAATCTGGACTAAGAGCAATTGGCTCAAACTGCAACCTCAAGTGGGTTCAAGAAAAGAATAATACAGCATGTCTGCAACTTAATCCCAAGACCTGTTGGCCTCACACCAGCAAATGTCAAAATATGTGTTTACAAGGGCAATTTTACTAGGCTTCTTGGATCTTTTTATTTTAAATTCTTCTCCCTCTTCATGGAAGTTTCAACATCATGTAGCTAAAAGGCTGTCTAGGGAGACTGTTGGAAAAATGGAGCAAAGCTGGCTCTGATTCACCCTCAGAACACTACTTTCCAGGGCCTTAATACCTGCATTTGCTGGCAAGAACACTGCTTTCCATCTAGTGAGTTCTGTGCCGGCAAATATAGGCTGCCAGGGTAGACAAAGCTTACATGCCAGCAGAGCTCCTGCCTACTGATGGGAGGGTGCCTCTGCTCCAGCTGGTGTCTCTGGGAGTGAGGACCGCTCTGCCTGGCTTTAACTAAAGATAAAAATAAATGGGAGATTAAATATCAGAGTACGAATTCTGGAGAAAATGAGAGCTTTTCTTTATTCTTGTAGCGGCACCACTTTAAATTGATCTTTGTTACTACAGAACGCTGCAGTATTCCATTTTTCCTTAAAACTCCCTTCATTTCATATAATTAATATTAATTCAACTAACCTTTATTTTCGGATGTCACATCTACTTCATCTGGTATGGATCCTTCAATTTCTTCTGTCAATTCTGCATCAAAATCTGTTCCAACAACCTCTATGTCATGTGTTATTGAATACTCCTTTAAATCAATGTCTTTCTGCTCAAACTGCTTTTCACATAAGGTTCTGTATGTTAGAAAAGATTATAAAAAGTGAAGCTTGTAGATGCGTTTCTTCACATTATTCCTAACTTTATGGCATTCTAAGCTCTTACACCAAACTGAATACAGAATCATTACCGTGAAGTACTTTCATTAGGTTCAGCATAGGCATGTTTGTCTTGGATATGAACTGGAGTACCAGCTGAAGGAGAACAGCCTCCATCCACACAGATGTCTTCCCCTAGTTTGGATCTATTAGCTGAAGAATAGGTACTTACACACCCTCTGTATGGTTTCTGGAAAAGGACACATGTGCTTAAATGTTGAAATCTGACTTGCAATAATATTTCATTAGCTCTGCTACAAGAATGCCCTCTTTCCAAATATATTTATGATCCAGCAGGAAAAAATTGCCCAGATAAGGAATCTGGGCAAATGCATGAAACCAATGTGGATCCTCATTATGATGATCTTCCATGCCCTCTGAATTGGCTGCATATGGGATACTGGTATCTGTGATGGCATTAAAATTAATGTACAGGTGCTTGTGTACTAATAAATTTGGACTAAGATTTAAATTAGGTTGAAACGTATGTTCCATTCTTTTAATAATTTTTGATTTTATGGCCATATATAAATCTGATAGATTTGTCTCAAATACATTATTTAATTAACCTAAAACTTTAATTAGCCTAAAACTAAGATCTTCACCTTATAATTAATAAGAATCCTAACTGTATTTCTTCACATAAAGTTATGTTTCTATATTGGGCAATGGCTGCATTCAGTTTTAATTATATTTCTTCTCAACCCAGATGAAACACTATTATGCAATGAATAGAGAAGTTCATTTTTCATATACTATATTATTTAGAGATGCCGGCCTTCTATTAAACCGTCTATACTCCATTATTTCTCATTCAAGTCTGAAGGACCATCTGAACATGTTAGAGAAAGAACTTTTACATTCATGGAATTTTGTTATTTCCTAGTAACTGGTTGAAAGACAGGTTGATTACTCAATATTCTACACACTCAGCCAGCATGAAAGTCCTTTAAATAGTCAGCAACAAACAACATATAGCACTTGCTATAATAATTTTGAATTAATATATTTCCATAATGAAGTAGAATATCCCACAATATATTCTATTGTGGGTTAACTATTAGGGGGAATCATCAGGATGGCAGCCAGTGACAAGTGGGGTCCCCCAGGGCTCTGTCTTGGGACCAATTCTGTTCAATCTTTTCATCAACAACCTGGAAGGGTGACCAGTCTGATCAAATTCACTGCCAATACTAAATTTGGGGCAGTGGCCAGAACTGAGGAACAGGTACTCTGGATCCAGAAGGATCTGGGCAAACTATGGAAGTGGACAGAGGACAACAGGATGACGTTCAGTGCATGTAAGTGCAAGGACCTGCACTTGGGGCATAGGAATGGGTGTCATAAGTACAGGTTGGCAGACAAGTGACTGGAGAACAGCACTTGTGAAAGGGGTCTTGGGATACTGGTCGACTGCAGGCTAAACATGGGCCAGCAGTGTGGCACAGCGGTCAAGAGGGTGAACACCTACCTTGCTTGCATAGCCAGAAGCATGACTTCTAGATCGAGAGAAGTATTACTGCCACTCTATATGATTCTGGTGAGTCTGCAACTGGAGTATTGTGTTCAGTTCTCAGCTCCACATTACAGGAAGGATATGGCCAGGTTGGAATTGGTGGTGTATAGCCACAAGGATGGTGGCTGGATTGCAGGGGAAGCCTTATGAGGCAAGACTGAGGGAATTGGGTCTTTTCGGCCTGGAGGAGACTCCAAGGGGATCTGTTGGTGACATACATATGTGCGGGGTGGCTAGAAGCCTGATTTCCCCTGTGAAGGAGGGCAGGACATGTTCCAACAGAGCAAAGCTGAGGGAATCAAGATTCAAGGTGGATTCCAGAAGTACTTCCTGACAGTTAGGATCCCTAAGGTATGGAATGGGTTTCCACAGGAGGTGGTTGAAGCTCCATCGGTAAGGGTGTTCAAGGACAGGCTGGACATGCACATGGTAGGCATGCCATCATCAGTGGAGCTGGCAGTCAGACTAGATGGCCCAGGAAACCCCTTCTGACTCACTCTGTTTCTATGTTTCTATAAGCATGCATGCTTTTTCATAAAGTAACAACACTCAACATCATTCCTTAAAGATACAACAAAGCCCTTTTCCTAACAGACAACCTAAGGTTTTCTTATACTCTAAATTTACATAGGCAGGTGATCTTTAAAGGAATTACATTAAATGATCAGTCCTCTATATGATCATCTTTAAGTGACAGTGAATCAAAAGATGTATTTCATACTCTAAGGATCTTGAGCCCTCAAAAGCACCTTTCTCAGAAGCACAGTGTTGCTTCCCTGGGTATTATACTTTCAAACCAAATTGGTGGGCAATGTTGCTTTTTTCACTGTGGCACCAGTTTCAATAACAGGGCAGCAAAAGACAGCTCAGCCCCTGTCGGATCCTGAGGATGGCAATACGGCTCCCCTGACTTACAGATACTTTCTAGCCTTGTAAGAGAAGGACTGACAGCATAATTGCATGAATGGTTATTCAGAAGTCAAATGAATTTAATTTACTCCCAAGTAAGTTTGCATATGTAAGTATGGCACAGTATGGAACAAACAGTGCACTAAAAGTTCTATTATATGGCTGCTTAAAAGAGCTTCCTTTCCACCACTCACAAAGAGATAAGGAGAAAGTGAGGTGCCTACATACATTGTCACTTACCACTGGGATCCTCCTTCCTGGGAAAATTGCATTTAAAATATGATACAAAATACTAATATTGATGAGTTAAAGCATTTGAATTTGGGCAAAATATATTCTAAAGTTGTCTTTCTGTAAGCAGATTTTTATTTGCATCTAGAATAACACATTGTCTGGGTTCCAGATGCATGCTAGAATCCATATGTATATGTTCCAAGCCACCCAGAAAGTATAGCTACCAAATAAATAAATAAAGCCCAATGCATTTTATTTCTCATGCTTACCCACAGACATACATTTTGGTCTTGTGTTTTACCATAATGTTGTTCTAACATCCACAACGATGCAAGTATGGCAGACGCAGATGTTTTAACATGCATCACAGGCTGGCATTCATGAAAGGGCTCTGTCAAGATGGGGTCATAAAGCAGTCTCCTGTTGGACCATCTGATCATCCATTCAAGCAAGCGAGCTATGTTGCTGTATTTAAGATTCATCTCTGGAGTTGGTTCTTCTCTCTGTATAAGATCATTCTCCTGAATTGCTTTGTAGAAATATTTATGACCTGGAACTGTTCTGGGAATTGAGGAAGCTTCTTCAGACCAACGCTGAGTTAATACAGGTGTAAGAGTTATTTCCTTACTTGAATCATGTGCACCATAAATAGGCTGCTGGCTTAGACCGAATAATCCTCTCCTTGCAGTAAGGCTCATCATTGAGTCATGAAGAGAAGGCTGAATTGACCGTTGCACAGTAAAGGGCATTGCTCGTTTTTTAGGATCTTTTTTCTTTTCAGCACACAAAGCAGCTAATTTAGAATCAATGGATTCAAAAGCAAGAGTGTAGCAAGAACCAGCTCTAAACACATTTTGATCTTTAGTTCTGATCTGTCTACGTTTCAGTGTTGTATGAACATCAAAAAGAACCGAGTTAAGCTCATGTTCTCTAAGAAGCGCTGAAAAGCTAATCAGAAAAGGAACTGCATAATCTTTGTGATTGAGTTGGTCTCTTTCAAGCAAGTAAGTTAAAAAGAGGTCTAAAAATTTAATGTATTCATCATCTTCACGCTCAAACTCCCATTCACCGACTAGAGGCAAAAAGTGCTGATTGAAGACATTACTGCTCTCTTTTCTGTTACTTCTTCTTTCGACATTGAAATCTTTTAATTTTTCAGTTGTTTTATTATAACCTATCAATTCTCCTGCAGAGTTTTGAACTTTCCTACAACAGAGAGATCAGAATAAAGGAGATTAAAAAGGACAATCAATTAACAAACTACTCATTTTTCTTTCAAAGCAAATTAACTTGATTCATAAATACTTGTTTCTGACATCAAAATAGGTAAAATAATGTTTTCAGTTTTACTGAGATTCCTTGATTAAAATATATTACTGTATAGATTTCAGCTCTCAACTAATGTTAATTCAACGTGGAAAAACATAGTGCTGGTGAAATGGGCTGGGCATGCAGATCACCCTCTCCTAGTAAGTGTTTCTAGGTTTTTTAAAAACCAGGTTGTTTTCAGTATCCTCTACCTTTCACATCCTTTTGCAAGAATCCAGGTGTTCAGGAAAAAGGAAAAATGCAAGCCACTCCATTTATGGGGTGCTTTACTGGGAATCAATAGCACAAATTATAGCCAGAATAAAATCTGTGCATATTTCAAGTGCAACTCCCCCATCCTGCACAATGTGTGGCAAACCACTGACAACTGCTCCAGTGTTCCATTAGGAAATTTGCAAGGGGGGCTATCACTTCAGAGATTGTAAAAAATCAACTTTGGTGGTTTAGACAGGGTAAAATGGAAAACAAGCCACAGCAATCACAGAAAGGACTTCGGTCAGCTGTGGAAGAGCCCTTTCAAGGACAGTCACTCCCACATATCACCTGGTGGAACAGCTACCTGTATTTGAACAGGATGAACTCGGCAAGAATGGTAAGGGCTTCTGCCACCCTTCTTGACTGGCTCACCATTTCCCTGTACACATTCTGTGACTGGGCTTGGATAACAGAACAACCTATCATAGGCACAACAAATGCTAGAACAGAAAGAAAGAATAGAAAATAGAACAGTACTTGTAGGTTACAATTATACACACATTTACTAGAAGAACAGTCCATTTGAAAATGGTGCAAGGCACTTCCATGTAAATGAGCATAGGACTGCACCGTGCATGAGATTGTACCAGGAAGATTGCTGCCCCAGTATTAACATGCTATGAAAGAAAGGTGAAATGGGTCTATTTTTCATATAGGACTGCCACCACAACAGGGCAAAGAAGGAGACAGAAGCAAGCTGAGGAAACATCAGGCCTTGTTCTAGATGGACTGCCCAACCCCTCAGGAGAGCAGAAACAGGGCTCTTTTAGCAGCTCTGCTGAAAATCTATTAATTCCACCCCCTCGCTGACCTTTCCCTCCAGATCCTATTTTTGTCGTGTTTTGTGCCTCTTTAGATTATAAACTGACACACAGATTTATTATTTTAGTGTTTGATTGTAAACTGTGCCAGGAGTCTTGTTTTGCTTTTCCTCATGAGTGTGATAAAACTACTTTAAACTAAAAAGGAGAGATTCAGAAGTATTACAAACTTGTGGTTTTCTTGCATCTGAGAAGAAAATGATTTTTTGGTTTCTTCCATCAGCAATTCTTCAGAGAGTGACTCTACTGTTTCAGCATCACTATAAACCTGAGGATTTCCCAAGTCTGAAACTGTGCTTCTGCTTAGACTAGTCTCCAATGAAAATCGATCACAGCAGTGAACTCCAGGATCTTGCACCTCTTCTTCTGGTGGTTCCCAGATGTTTCTCTGATGGTGTCCTATGTTTCTTATCACACGCTTCAATGTTTTGACATTTACTTTGTGAGCCGATTGTATAGCAACAGACATCATTTCTTCATAGTCATGGCCTATCCATAAAATCAGAGGATCCATTTTAGAGTAGAAATTGCAACTGCAATTGCATGATGACTTTATGTATGTATGTATGTAGAAGGCTTCTATGCCACCCCAGTCGCCAAAGCCTCGGGGTGGTTCACAACAATAAATAAATAAGAACAATATAAAACAATATAATATGAGTTGACCTGGCCCAAAAAATAAAATAAATAAATAATATTAACAATTAAAATAGCGTTTGACTAAAAAGGTCTTTGCCTGGCGCTGAAAAACAAATAACGACGGCGCCAGGCAGACCTCTCTGGGGAGCGCATTCCATAGATTGGGCGCCACCGCAGAGAAAGCCCTCCTCCGAGTACTTACCCTCCTAATATCCTTCACGGAGGGTTCCCAGAGAAGGGCTTCTCCCGCTGATCTCAAGGGGCGGGTGGGCATATATGGACATAAGCGCTCCTTCAGGTAACAAGGACCCAAGCCGTTAAGGGCTTTATAGGTCATAACCAACACCTTGAATTGGGCCCGGACTTCAATGGGGAGCCAGTGAAGCTGACGGAGAACTGGAGTCATGTGAACATAACGCCCAGTCCCTGTCAGCAGCCTGGCAGCTCTATTTTGAACCAATTGAAGTATCCGGACCGTCTTCAAGGGCAGCCCCACGTAGAGCGCGTTACAGAAGTCAAGGCGGGAAGTCACCAACGCATGTGTCACCATCGCCAGGCAGTCGTCCTCCAGGTAGGGACACAGCTGTTGGATCAGCCGAAGCTGAAAGAAAGCACTCCTTGCCACTGCTGTCACCTGAGCTTCCAGTGAAAGATCTGGGTTGAGGAGCACTCCCAAGCTGCGGACCTTGTCCCTAAGAGGGAGTGCAACCCCATTCAGGATTAGGTTCAGGTCCCCTTCCCTGAAGCCTGATCCACCAACCAACAGGACCTCCGTTTTGTCTGGATTGAGCTTCAGTTTATTGGCCCTCATCCAGCCCATTACCTCGGCCAGGCACCAGTTCAGTACAGCCACTGCCTCACCTGGATTGGTAGAGAATGAGAGGTAGAGCTGGGTATCATCAGCGTACTGATGATTCTGCAGCCCACACCTCCTGATGACCTCTCCCAGCGGTTTCATGTAGATGTTAAATAGCAAGAGGGACAAAATGGAACCCTGCAGAACTCCATGGCATAACTGCCATGGCGCAGAGCCATAGTCCCCCAGCATCAACTTCTGGAATTGGCCATTGAGATAGGAGCGGAACCACTGCAGAGCAGTGCCTCCGACCCCGAATCCCGCTAGCCTATCCAGAAGGATACCATGGTCGATGGTATCGAAAGCCGCTGAGAGGTCCAGGAGAACCAACAGAGACACACTCCCCCGTCTGTCTCCCTGCACAGGTCATCATACAGGGCAACCAAGGTAGATTTAGTACTGTACCCAGGTCTGAAGCTGGACTGACATGGGTACAGATAATCAGTTTCCTCCAAGAGTGCTTGGAGTTGTCCTGCCACCACCTGCTCCAACACCTAGCCCAGAAATGGGATGTTGGCCACTGGTCTATAATTAGTGGCTATGTCTGGATCCAGTGACGCCTTCTTCAGGACCGTCGGACTACCACCTCCTTTAAGGGGGCAGGTACCCGGCCCTCCCTCAGAGAGGCATTAACCACTTCCAAGATCCAGATCCCTATCCCGTGCTTGGCGTTGTTAATTAGCCAAGATGGGCAAGGGTCCAATAGGCAGGTGGTGGGACGTACTCATCCAAGCACCTTGTCCACATCATCAGGCCGCAGTGACTGAAATTCATCCATCAATTTTGGACCAGATGGCGACATTGGTATCTCCCCAAGCCTCTGAATCACTAGTGGAGTCCAGCTCGTTACGAATCTGAGCGATTTTCTCCCTGAAATGCTTGGCAAAGTTGTCACAGCGGGCCTTCGAGGGTGGAACAGGATCTTTCTTAGGGCTGGGACGAACCAGCCCTTGTACCACCCGAAACCGCTCTGCCGGACAGCATTTAACTTGACAAACTTTACATGCAGTGGGTGCCATACCTTACATAATGTCTTTGACCAAAATCTAAATTCAAGTATCTTTTCCTTATTAAAACCACTTAGACCAGGGGTCCTCAAACTTTTTCAATAGGGGGCCAGTTGAAAGGCGGTGGCTACGTGTGCGGGCTGGTGGTGAGGGGGCTGGGTGCGCGGGCCGTTGAGGAAGCGTCAGGTGTGCACGAGGTGGGTTGGGCGCGCGTGGTGGAGACTCGCTTGCTTGGAGATCTCCCATCGAGTCCAAAACCATCTCCAAGCAAGCAAGCCACTCCTCCAGCCCCTGCTGCAAGGCAGCAGTGAGCACGTGTGCGTGGGGGAGGCAGGCCGCATAATCTGTATCTCAAACAAGAAGGCAACAATTTGTATTAAGCAATTATATTTTCTGAGAAAACCTATATTTTTAAAAAAATTTCCTTTAACATCATGCATGGTACCTTTAACTATGCAGTGTCTCAGTCGCTGATGCAGAGTGTTGTATTTCTCCCTTAATGGGACTCTTACATCTTCAGGGTTAGGAAATGCTTTCACCAAAATTTCTGCCACCTATACAAAACACAATTTCAAGATCACTTTAAGCAACTTTCAGAAATATCTGATAAGAAACATGAACAGTATTTTTAGAGTAAGCTAAATGATTATGATTTTACATTTATATCCTGCCTTTCTTCCTCTTATAAGAAGCCCAGGACCACTTACAAGGTTCCATTCCCTTTCTATTTTATCCTCAGTACAACCCTGTGAGGCAGGTTAGGTTGAGAGTCTGTGACTGGCCCAGTGAGCTTCAAGGCTGAGAGGAAACAACCACCCAGATCTTCCAAGTCCCAGTCCAACACTCTAACCACCACTAATCATCTATACCTTTTTGATTGGTGGCAATTCTCCAATCAGACTCAGAATTATATCCTGGACAAGTTCTTCAACATTCATGAACCTGGCAAAAGGAAGTATTCGGCAAGCCCACTCCAATGCACTGAGAGAATGCTCTATTACACAGGCATCATATTCGGTCCTCTTGCATTTCTAAAGAGATAACATCAAGTAACTGCTCTAAAATGTCTTCTATCAAAAGCTCTTTTAATGAGAACGGAAAGTTGATATTTTTTATAGTTTTTTAGGGGTTAAAATTTTGTGCTTTTTATAATTACTTTCTCATTTTCCAAATTCTCTCTTGCACTTTGGTATCGTCTGCAACTATCAGATAATCTTTCACGAATGTGAAACATCCAGCATAATGCACACAATTCTCTAAAGCAACCTGTGAAAAAAAGACAGTCATAGAGTTTTGATCATCCAAGGAATAAGTGCAAATATCAATTATTCAAGCATTTTCATTTAAAATTATTTACTTATATGTAGCAGAATCTACAAGTACAAATCCTAATGTGGGCTCTTAATTCAAAATTTTGCAATGTTTCATCAATAAGTTTCAACTGCTACAGACTCTTTTACAAACTTGTCATAAGGTAAGTAATATTGGACAGACTTGTTTAGATCAAGGCAGGATAAATACATAAAAAGGAATAGGCTGATTTCAAGGGATGCAGTGGTCAATTACAATTCCATATCTTTAATTTATTCTAATCATGTTAATATAATGATGTATTTTCACTGATTTTATCCTAAATGGCACTTATGCAACAGCTGACATTTCACTGGGAAAGGGTAGATACAAATGCTACGGATGGCATATGCTCAATTTGGGAACAGCTACAGGATGCTTCTTGAACTCCTCAGTCAGCACTGTCATGCTAAAGAAATATCCCAAATAAATGTTATATTGACTACTGCAAGTGCTCAACTTGAGATTTCTTGCAGCACTCATACCAGGAAGGTGCTCTAGCAGATTCATCCTTCTATTGCTTGGCAGACCAACAAGAAAATGAATGGGACTTCGAACCTCATTCACTCTTCTTGTCTACCCACCCCCAGCAACAGAAACAGTACACATTCTTTACAGGTATATATTATATCCAGCACATTAACCACAGGTCACAGGTACCTCTCTGGCAATAAGCAATCTGTGAAATCGCATGAAACTTGAAGAAATGGCCCTTGCTATTTTCTCAGCTCATATGCTATATCAGTGAACAATACCCACAGAATTATATACATGGACTGTGGGAAACATTACTTCTCCAACTTTTTCTCATAGTCTAATTTGACACTTTTCTGTGTCCTTGCATTTCTGTAGATACAAACCTATAGTTTTACATGAAACATCATCAAGTCCATGGTCTCCAGAAGATGTAGGCCTTAGGAACACCGTATGACATTTGGAATAATTAAGCAAATTTTCTGGAAGAGCACCTAATGAAGGAAGAGCACCTTTTTTGCGAATCTGAAAGTGTAAAGTGAAAGCAAAGGTCACAGAGAATAAATTAGCTTGAGTTAGAATAAGTGGTGCTCAATATTCAGCTGTATCCACATTTCAGGGTCTATATAAAAGTTCACACAACTGTGCTCCAGGAAAAAGCAACAAGACATACAACTGACAGATTTCTAGTTTTACCTGAAAACATGTTCTCAATGGAACAACTGAAAATTGGGGGGAATTTAGAATACTTGAAAAAAATTATACATATGAAATGCTTTTCTAGTCAAGGGTTTTCTCATTTAAATGTACAGTGAAAAGATTTCTATGTAAGACAGTCTACCACACCACTAGAAACATAATGCATACATTGTACAGGGTTAAGCCCAAGATGTATCTCTGCATGTGAGAAGCATAAGGCTTTATTATTTGTGAATTATTTGCCACCTTCTGGTGACCTCTGATGTGGTTTAGAAATACTAGAAACAATTAACCTCTGTCTGCTGTTATTTTGAACTGCTGCGGCTGACTTTTTACCTCTCCCCTAAGCTCAACTAAACAAACATGGGTTTTTACTTCTGAGTAGATATACAAAGAATTGCTGCATAAATTTGTTCCTTTTCTTATGACCCTACTCTTTACTGATTTCATTGTTGCTATGAGGTGGTACCCAAACAAGCCATTGCACAAGTAGGGCTTACCACTAATGCCATTCTGCAAGAGGCACCCACTATTTTATACTACTTGTTTCTGGAAAAATGCAGGTCAGCAGAACATGCATAAAAGAGTTCTAGGAATCGTTCTAATGAAGCAAAAGAACATTTCCTTTCATTTTGACAATTACTAAAGGAAGTGCTTAAATCTCCATCGTGTATGTGATGTGTCCCACTTGTGCAACAGAATCTATGGTGAATCCTGCTTGTAGAATGGAATCAGCCCCCATTGTTGATAGGCCCAATTAGAAACTGTCTTTGGAGTTGCATAGAATAATTCTGATCTAAAAATTTGCCTTCAGTGTATTAGCATGATTAACTTAAAAGCAATGTCATCAATATACCTTTTGCATTATTTTTCGTGCCCGTTTCAGTTGTGAGATATACCACTGAGCAACAGGGAAAGAACAATGAGCAGCTCGGAAAAGCAAAAGAATTCGTTGAATAACTCCAGACACCTTTTGCCGACAACCTCTCTCCATTTTCAATGGTAAATCAAAGCATTCTTCCTGAATACAGCAAAATTATAAGGTCATAAAGGATACTGTAGCTCATAAGAAAGAAATGAGTATAACACAAATTTTCATTCTAATTCTGATATTTCCAGCTTATATTCAATGCTGAAGTTCTAAAAGAAACAGAAGAGTTTTCTCTCTACTCCCCTCTACCAAAAAAGGAGGATGATTTCCCAATATGTATAAATACATGTTAAGGTAACATTATTTATTTATGATTTATTTAGGGGACTTCTATGCCGCCCCATTCGCCAAAGCCTCGGGACGGCTCACAAACTTATATGTATAAACACATTATATATATGTGTTCAGCTGTGCTCAATAATATTTCACATTCATAAGGGAAACAATTCTTTTCAACAGAAGGAAGAGACCTGCATACGCAATGGAATGTGTACATGATAAGAATCCTCTTTAAGAATGTAGAAATTTCCTGCACTGGATCATAGCATGCACCTTCAGCAGACTAAACACCCCAGGACAGACATGTAAGCATAAGCAGAATGATTTCTTCTCTATGACACTTCATATTTAGAAAGAAAATCTGATTTGAAATGCAATGGAAAATATATACCTCAAGTGTAGGCAAAATTATAGTAACATTCATGGAACTTCCAAAAGTGCTTACTTCACTAAGAAATGTTGGCTGAGGACAATATAATGGTGGAGCAGGAAGATATAAGCCATCTGGCACCAAACCATAGAACTTTCTACTAAGATCCTTGGCAATGTCCACCAATAGTTGAAATGTCTCTGAGAGAATATCTGCTTCTGCCATAGCAGCTGCCTTCAGTATTTCTTCTACTGAATTAAAAAGCACATTTACATCTTCCTCTTCAAGAGGATCTAAAGAAAGTCAGCAGGGGAAATAAAGCAAAAACATTAATACTACTTCTTGAGAAGTTATACTGTTAAATATGGAAATTCATACGCTAGGGTCTAGACATAGTTTTACTGAGTTATTTGCGTCTTTATAATGCTTGTATCAGGAAACTAGGCTTTGCAGTTGAATATAAAGAGAGTGTTGCATTCTGAATGCTAAATAATCTAGCTAGCACGAGAGTAATACCACATTAGGCTTTCAAATATCAATCTTGTCTAGTCTGACAATATAACAAAATAGCTTGCCAAGGGTTTTTATAAAAGCCAAACGTTTAAATAACAACCCATATTTAAAAGTTGCCCATTTTAAGTTTGCCCCAAAGATTTTACACAAGGGAACCATTAACAGAACTTTGATCCATCTTTTAGTTTCAGCTCCCAAAAGAAACTTTCCTTGCCCTTTGTATTATATTATAACTGATAATAGGTGAAAAAATATTACAGCAGTTCATGGCAGCAAATGGATTTCAGGCTATGTATTTTATATTTGCTCTTTCAGAAAAACAATGTATACTTATGAACATACGAACTGTCCCATACAGACTCTGACCATCCTCAACTCTGAATTGTGGCTCTCCAAAGTATTACACAGAAGTGTTCTCTAGCTCTATTTCCAGAGATCCTCTTAGCCAGCAATGATAGCGGTTGAATCGCATACTATCTGCAAAACATTTCATGGTCCTACCCCTGCTTGTATTAAACAGGAAGTTATAGTTTTAATTCTACCACATACACACAATAGCGTTTTACAGAATCTGTGCTTTTAGTTAGAGCCAGTGTGGTGTAATGGTTAAGAGCATGGGACTGGGACTCAGGTGATCTGGGTTCTAGTCCCCGCTCAGCCATGGAGCCAACTGGGTGACTTTGGGCCAGTCACAGACTCTCAGCCCAACCTACCTCACAGGGTTGTTGTTGTGGGGATAAGATGGAGGAGGAGATGTAAGCTGCCTTGAGCCCTTTGTAGGAAAAAGGCAGGATATAAATTGAAATAAATAAATAAATTATAGTTATTTTGTTACAATTTCAAATATTTGCCTATAAAAATGTATTTCAGATAGAGTGCAGAGGGTATAGTGACCACTGTAAAGAACTGTATACTGTTTTGTTGTTGTTATTCTAAGATCCTACAAAGTTCTTTGTGCATGTGGGAAAGTCTCTAGCTATGTGCATGGTTATTTCTGCTTGAACACAGATTTGAGGTTCTGCAAACTGAGGTTATAATGTAAGATTCTGTAGGTCTCGTTTTCACTGAGGGAATAAACCTATGTCTATATTATATAATTACAGATAGAGGGTTCTATAACTGGGTACTCCTTCATATAAATTAATCCTTTCATGTAGAAAAGTAGTCATGGAGAAGGCTACGCTAGAACATTTACCCTGGACATCTGGCTTTCAAGTACAGGATTGTTCATGTGCATAGGAACATTTAATCACAGGAGCTCCCACCTGCAGTCTGACATGGTACAGCCCAAACACAGATTTACTATCTCTGTAAGAAATGAGGTCAAGGTTCACCTTAAGGTCCACAATGTAGAAAATAGGAATAACATGGGTATGCAAAAACTCTAAATTGCTACCTAAAAAAAGGTATTTGCATTTTTAGAAATCCTCAAGAAAACAAACTCAGAGTTAGAAATTACACACCTGTAAACTGTTTGAATTTGGGGTCTCTTTCATTTGATGTTTCACTGTTGACAGGTCGGCCCAAGAAAAATTGTAGCTTTTCTTGAAATATTTGTGTTGGAGTCAAATGCAATGGTAGGCATAATTCTACTTTCCCTGACCTGAGAGAATATAAAGAAAAACAGGTTATTTTGCCTGTAAAAGTTCTCTGAATGGCCTCCATGCGATCACATATGAAATCTACAAACCTGCAGCCACAATGCAAAACTTTGACAGCAACAGAGAACATTGCACCATACTGTATTACATGATGATTTGAAGGTGTGAAGATAATTCTTTCCCATTCAATACCTTTGCTATTGCTGCAGATATATATATCAGCAAAACAAGCCATTATGGGAAATCCTTGTTTTTCAAAGATACAGATCTGTATACAAGTGATGCCTGATTTATTCAGATGTTGGATTACTGCAGCTATCACTACTGGAAGGTAACAACAAAAGACAGTACTCTCACAGGTAAGGTAACTCCAAACTAAGCTCCCAGAGACCAGACCCCCCTCTTAAGTGCAGTAGATGATCTGTTCTAATCATTCCATTACTCATTAATACTGAACTTCATTCCCACATGAAAGTATCAGGCTGAGGAAGAAAGCTAAAGAAGCATGCATAAACCCAGACACCAACACAGCAAATGTCAGACACTTTCCAACTGACCAATATATTGAAGGCATCTCCAAGAATATTCAATGCTTCAAGATTTTGCGCTGTAGATTATGTATGGTGCAGGGCTATATAAAAGTGGCAGCCACCAGAGATCTAACATTTACTGGGTTTGTTGTTGCCTCCCAGTCAGAAGAACAGGGGGTATTTGTAATTTACATTCCTACACGGCTTGGACACATGATACCTGACAGAACACCTCTCCTGACCTCTATCTACCTCTATCTACCTGGGTACTATGATCAAGTTCTAAGTTTCTCTGATTGCCAGGAAGGCTTGGATGGTAGCAATGAGGAAAAGAGCCTTTTCAGTGGTGACTCCCCAGTTAGGGAATGAGCGCCCCACTGAGGCCTGCCTGGGGCCAACCTTACAACATTTTTGAAGCCAGGTAAAGACCATCCTGCACTGCAGGGCATTTAATACTGGATTGTAGTCTTGACTCAGCCATGGAGCCAACTGGGTGAACCACCCAGAGAGCTTCAGTGGTTGGTTAGTATAGTGAAGTGCAAATCCTGAGAAATTTATTTCAGATTCTATGACAATTCTTGCATAAAGTTAATACTATCTATCTCTATATATGATAAAGCCAATGTGGTGCCAGTGTGGTGTAGTGGTTAAGAGCATGGGACTGGGACTCAGACGACCTGGGTTCTAATCCCCACTCAGCCATGGAGCCAAATGGGTGACTTTGGGCCAGTCACAGACTCTCAGCCCAACCTACCTCACAGGGTTGTTGTTGTGGGGATAAGATGGCTGAGGAGATGTAAGCTGCCTTGAGCCCTTTGTAGGAAAAAGGCAGGATATAAATCAATCAGTCATTGCAAACTAAGACTGTAGAACCCACTTCTATCATGAGTGCAAACAGGACTCACCTTGGGAAGCTGTCATTGCTCTGACAGTATAAATTATAAGTCAGTCCAACTGAAACAGCCACTTTCCAGTCTCCAAGTTTATGTGCTAGCCATACAGCTTCTGGAATTAGCCCACCAATAAGCAGCAAATCAAGAGCATAGTCAACTGTCCAGACAGAAGAGAGGCACTGGGCCCTGACTGCACGGGTCACGAGGGCGTGTTGCAGGGGAACAACACGATGACACCTGTCTAACACACAAAAGACGTTTGTTGGTTCTCTGAATGTAACTGACTCCTGGATAATTTCTAGTTCAGTAATATGCTTACTCAGAAGTAAGACCAGTGGGTACAATCCCAAATGTACATATGCACAATGAAATACAGGCCATCCCCAAGTTACAAGTCACTTGAATTACAAACAATTCATACTCAATGAACAAACTGCCAAATAGCCTATTAATTTTTTAAAAAATACCGCAGAAAATCATCAATGCCATAGAGAGAGAAAGGAAAAAAAGGGGAGAGAGGGAGGCCTCCATAGCATGCCTTCCTGTGCTACCCATCTGGAGAGGTAGATCTCTGACATTTCCTTGCTGCAAAAAGAGGAATTGGTGAGTTTGGGCAGTGTTGCAGGTGGGGTTTGAGATACTTGTGTTTTTTCCCACTTTCATGGGGGTCCCGTGCCCCTAACCTTAACCCCCGCCAAATGTGGAAGGTCAATTATATGCAATCCAACTTATATACAAATTCAACTTAAAGACAAATTTCTATTTTCTCTGGAAAAGAAGTCATTCATAACCTAGTGACTGCCTATATACGTATTTCGATTACACCTTTTAGGTCGAGGCTTTTTACAGTAGAAACATTTGCTAATCTTCTCTCCTCACTAACCTCCTGCCCCACTCCATTAGTGTAATTTTTGGGCTGGTATGGAAATTAAAATGCATATCTAAGTCTAATACTGAGTACATGTATACAGAAAATTCACTGTTTGCTCAAAAGAGTACAGACGAGGGAAAAGAGGAAGTATTATCATCTTCCAGTACAGGAGAAAAAGGTGAGAAACAGGCTGATTTAAGTAGGTTGACAAAGTGGGTCCATGGCAGAAACAGACTCCAGAAGCAATAATGTCAAAAATTGTGAATTTTGGAAGTACACGGAGATGAAGCTTTGATAAGAACTTTTTCTCCTGCTGACATCAACAGAACTTGAAAGTGCTTAACTTTGGCTGAATGATATTAAGTAAAAAGAAGCGATAATATTTATTTATTTATTTATTTAAAACATTTCTATGCCACCCCCATCGCAACAAAGCCTTGGGGCGGCTCACAAAGAATACATAAAAACATACATAAATAATAATAATACAACAATTTAAAAGGAAAAAAAAACCCAACATTTAAAAAATATTAACAGAATACCTAGCTTTATGTGAAGTGAAGGTAAAATATCAACATTGTGTGGAGGAAGCACATAAAGTGGCTCATTCGTGAAGTAGGCTGCCATGAAACGTGCCAGAGACTGAACCACAGCTAGAGCAGCCTCGGAATGAACATCTCTTATCATACATTCAGCATCTAAAACAAAAATTAAATGTCTTACATTAAAAATGTGGTATAGATATGAAAAGATGCCACTGAGTAATTCAGATCTATCAATCCTCCTTAGTGAAGTACTTTAAGAATACTTTGACTCTTTGGAAATAAATCCCTAAAGCTGCATACCATACATACTTACCTAGGAGTAACTCTCAGTGAACCTAATTGGATTTAAGTCTGAACAGACAGGTATAGGATTGCACTTTAGTTTCCTGTGCACATCAACTAACATTCTCCTCCAAGACGACAATGTCCTGTTAGGCTTCACTTAGTTGTGTACATCAACTAACTTTCCTTATGAAAGAATTCAGTCAACACAATATTTAATAAATTGTACAATCCTATACACGTTGACTTAGAAATAGGCTCCACTGAGTCCTAACTTTGTATGTAGCATTTCAGCATCAGATACAGTTTTTCAATGGAATAACACCAGAATGCATGGTTATCAGAGCAAACATCTATTGAGTTAAAGTGCTTTAAATTGTGCCTTCTTAGCAAGCATATTAACTCTAGAAGAAAACTAGCCCTAGGTACTCGTACCTATTAGTCAAATTTTGAGGAGAAAATATTTAAGGCAGACTCAGTGAGGATTGTTAAAAAGTTTACAGAGAAAATAATTAAAAGATGCTTAATTAATTCTTAAATATCTATTCATTAACCACAACTTTTGCAGGAACAAGTCTCTTTAATACTGCTATATAATTGTAATAACAGTAAAAATGACTAATTATACATTCTATTGTATTCCAAATATGAACTTAGCATTCTACATTCACATACCTGTTACATCATCTGTCCCTCTTTCAGAAATTTGAGATCGTTTTAGAAGCTCGCTCACCAAATGATCACACAGTCCCTGAGCCTCACTTAAATTGTAGTAATACAGATGGCAGTATAACATTGCAAGATAATATCGAGTTTGAAGAAAAGGCATCCGCTTCCCTCCTGCATAAAAAAGGGAAACAGCTGCCTAAAGCTGAAACTACAAACACTGGTCATTTAATGAAAGTATTAAACCTAACATATAGGTATACTAGTTCACCCTGAATATCAACAGATGTGTCATATACAGAAATAATAACATTACTACTGAGTGGGACAGTAATGTGACCAGAAATGATCAACTCGGCCAACATGTTACTGAATTATGCTTTGCAGTATTTTAACAGTCTCACAGAAAAGAGAAAAAGGAGAGCAATTGAATAGATGAAGCTTCTCAGTTACTCTGACAGATTATACAGCTGTCAAGCTTAACAAGTTGTTTTATTCATCATGTTTAAATCTTGCCTTCCTTCAAAGAGCTCAGGGTGCTGCATATGGCATTCAGCCTACCTCATCTTTCTATCTTCATTTCAACCCTGGGCTAAGAGATAATCACTAACCTAAAATTACCTAGTAAACTTTGTGGTTAAGTAGAGATGCAAACCTGGATTTCCCCAGTCCTAGTATAATTATTACACCACACTGATTATAATTTCTATATGATGATGATGATGATGATGATTATAACATTTCTATGCCGCCCCTTGCCGAAGCCTCGGGGCGGCTTACAACACAATATTTATATACTGCTTCTTGACTATGCTTGACAACCTCTGCCTCCATGAAGTTATTTAAGGAACAGAAGTCTTTTTTGGGATAGGAATTATAGTTTTTACCCCGTTTTTTGAAGGAAGCAGAAATACAGAGACTGGTTGGACAAACAAGTGGCAGTTCACCTGCTGGGAAGGACTGAAGCCAGGGAACAGAGCAAGATGTATCCATGTCTATAAAATCCATTGGTAATTTCACAGAGTATCTTATCTCTCGCTATCCAAAGTATTATTCACTACTGAAAATTCTAAATGTTAACCTGAAGAACAGTTTTAATTACTCCAGTTTGTTAAAATAATTTTTGAATATATATTGCAATGCATTTTCATATTTTAAACTTCCTCCCTTTATTCATCAACATCAGTTATGTATCATGACTCATAATAATTAATCTAATTCCAAGATTTGCTGGCTCAACATAGATTTTACTTGGCATGAAATCTGTTTCAATTAAAAGTACAAACTAAAATGGCAATGCAGTAGCACCAAATGTCTTCAGAAATCAGATTTTTAAGATGTCTGTGCTGATGTAAAGAAGTGCTGCTTGGAAGGCAGTTTCAGCAGCAGCCACTCCACCAGGCCGTATCAAAGCAAGCGGTAGGAATTAGTGCCATATCAGCTCACCTGCGTGACCAGCAGTTTCTGGCTCCCTCTCTTTGAACTTATTTCCCTTCTACCTGGTCATGGTATGACCTCTGACTGTAATGCAGCATTACAGTTGGTCATAATAAGGACTGCTTAATTAGGAATTGGTGTATGTATTTTCTTGTTTCTCTTTCTTATTCCTATCCCTTTTCCCTTTGGGTCATATCTGTTTAGACAATAAACTTGAGAACAGGATCTGTCTCGCTTTCACTGACATGTAAGCCACTCTAAGATAATTTCGGAATGAAAAGTGAGGCATAAATACTTTAGATACATGAATAAACAAATATTTCAATTGAGTATTATACTAAAACACTGAACATGTACTTTACCTTTTTCTTTTGCTTCTTGAAGAGCTTTCTCCCATGCTTCCACTGATTCTTTATAAGACCCTAGCAGAAATTGTTCCTCACCTTAAAAAAACAAAAGTAAAATTGAGCACCTATTACAAGCTATTTTCATATCACTGGATATATGAATTATAACAGAGAGATCTAAATGTCTTCAAGTGGCCGAGATGGGTTAGCATGGGGTGATCCTTGGTTCTTGGTAGCCTGGCATATGCCCCTAAGGTATTAGTTTTACCTGCAGAAAGTCATGAAGGCATACAGCTATCACTAGCAGTGTTTCTGTCAAGGATATGCCCCAAAATGAGGTGTTCTAGCACAAAGTTGGGCCAGTCTTGACTCTGCTGGACACTGGATATATGAATTATAACAGAGAGATCTAAATGTCTTCAAGTGGCCGAGATGGGTTAGCATGGGGTGATCCTTGGTTCTTGGTAGCCTGGCATATGCCCCTAAGGTATTAGTTTTACCTGCAGAAAGTCATGAAGGCATACAGCTATCACTAGCAGTGTTTCTGTCAAGGATATGCCCCAAAATGAGGTGTTCTAGCACAAAGTTGGGCCAGTCTTGACTCTGCTGGATTCAAAATCCCTTTGACTGCAAGGGAGACCCCAAGGTCTCTCCCTGCATCCACCTTTACACCTATAACTAGCACAAGCTTTCCCCACATAGGAACCAATAGCAGGGAGTGGGAACAAAATAAAATTAAAAGCACAAGGGTGGAAAAAAATCCACCCACACCTCCCACCATGGACACCACAAGACACCAGGGCTTTAGAAGTACTGCTAGACTCACCACTTGACACATCCCCCACACCACTTAGGATTACACCACAAGTTATCATATCATAGAAACCCTTGTAAGACCCTTGCAAAGTTAAATACTAATTCTAGGAGACATGCTCATGTTATAGTCCCCCCAGGACAAACTGGGGGCAATGGAAACAAATCATAAAATGCAGGCTTTCTATCCTAGAAATTATTTTAAATATTTATATTCCACCTTCAACAAAGCTATTTCCAGAAACAGGTAAAATCAATCACAATAAAAACATAAACTACCACTACAAGCTAAGTGTGATGTAAAGAAATAATGTAAGGCCAGTATGAGAGAGATCAAACCACAGAGGCTTAAACAAGCAAACGAAGAAAATAAAGGCAGACTTAAATATTTAAAAGGAAGGTTGAATGAAGTGAGACTTTATTTAGAGTTCATTTAAAAATCACCAAAGAATAACCCTGGTGAAGATCTCAGGAGAGGGAATTCCACACTCATTTGAATCACCATTAAAAAGATTTTGTCTATCATGGCTGTCAGTGTGCTATTTGGCTACGACATAGCGCATGATATACAGTAGATTGTTTGATACAGGTATCAAATAACCTGGTCACAAATCACTCACATGCTTAAGAGGCCAAACCAGCAATTTCTATTGAACATGTAACAAACCAGTAATCAAGGTTTGGTGTAACTGAAAATAGTTTCTTACAAGATACTAACCAACCACAGTGTTGAGGATCAGCGTTTGTTCCAGCCTCTCTCCTGAGGACTGTAAGACTGCCTGTATATGACTTGCAAGTACTTCAATTATTGGTCCTTCATAAGCAATTTGTGTTTCACTTACTGGCTTACTTATGTTATATGCTTTTCTGTTTAGCTGTGCCCAATACCAAATGACATGCTTATACAATAGCCTCCACATAACAATTAACCTAATGAGAAAAGGATTAAACAGTTACAGTAAAAGCACAACTAAAAGAAAATCAGTGTCAGATGCTATATTACATATTAGAAGCCACTTGAAAAAAAAACCCTTAATACTTGTAAGTCAGTTACAATATTGGTAGCTGATTAGGTAATTAAACAAATTAATGAGGATAATCTCTTAATACCTATTAGATATTATCATATTTAAACTGCTCGGTTCTTCATTATTACAGTTAATAGTCAGTTTAACTCCAAGAAACATTACACATTAAATACATTTTCAATTAATTTAACTGTCATCAAGCAAGACTCATTACAGGCCAACGCTGTCAGTATTTTGCAAGTATACTACTACAGCTACCTGACATGTGTAGCTTTGGGTGATTACTTCCCTTGCCTTTTCTCACCTGTCAAAGGGAAGGTGAATAGGTAACAAACAAGGAAACTGATATAGCGAGATTGCATGTAGACTAATTTGCACCAAGTTACCAAGGTTCAAAAGCCACGTTATCAATGTTTCTTCCCTTTGGCAACATAGTCCTCTCACTTTTGAATATTGCAGGTGTCAGTGCCCTCCACTTTTTCAACACTCTTCCAAGTGTTTAGCTAGTCCAGAAAGGGTAGAGGTACCCCCTACTTGTGGTTCCCTTCTAAATCAATTAATCTAGGTGAGAAAATGCCCTTTTACTTCACTGATGCCCTGTTAAACTGGTGCAAAATTTCCTGCTCATTTTTCTTGCAAATATTTTAACATATTAAAATTCAATTTTAAAAATAATTTTTCATATAGATCTGCAATACCTCTTTTCTGGATTCTTTGTTAGATTTACAGTTGGAGGAGAGAGCTTCAGAACTGAATTTAATGAACGGAGATTAAGATCGCTGTTCCAATCCATAGCCTGAAACAGAGGCACAACCATGCAATCGAGTTCCACCTTATTTTCAGTACCGAGGACTGCTGAAAGGATCTCATGCTGTGGTGTGTTTTTGCTATTTAAATAATGAGTAACCTTCTTCAACAAAGAGAAGCCTCCTAAAAGATTACTGGAGAAGAAGTGGTCTTGATGTGCAAGAAGCATCATTTTTAAAGTCTGTGATGTAAGCTTCATCAAATGCCCCAAAGTCTGTCTGTGTGTATACTCCCAACTCAGGAGAGTCAAAAATTGCTCAAAACATTTTAAGGTGCATTGTATCCATGGATGATTTTTCACAGGGTCATCCAAATATGTAAAATTAAGTTTTGCATATTGAAGAATACTAAAAAAGTGTGTTACACAATGTACTATACAATTTAACAACATGTCTCTTTCTTGTATGCTTTCAGAAATCCCCACTCTCCAAGCCGCAATTAAATTTTTTTGGATACAATTCAGTTCCAAAGATGTGTCATCCATTTCTCTGGTTTCTTGCACTGCATGAATAGTATCAAACATTGATGCAAATTCTAAACAGCCTTCACCACATGAAGAGGAATCTGTCTTTTGGCTCCCAAAAATAAAAGAGCGACTTTGAAACACTTTGTCATCGTCAGATTCTTCATCATAATCCTAAATATAAGGGAAAATAAATATCATCTGAGAGATTTTTACTTTCTCATACAGTTGTAGAAAATATAGGATTAGAGCCAAGGAAGCACTTATCCCACAAACAATTGCATATATGTTAGGGAAAACTTCTTGCAACAAACTATCTAAATAAAAGTTGTAGATATGGTACACTTAGAGGTATTTTTTATTATAGAGAGATAGAGGAAAATTTCTGCTTCAGAGATATTCCCCATTACAAGGCAAGTTCTGATAGCAAAGTTGTATGAACTTCCTATTGAAAAATGAGCGTTAATGGCTAGTGCACATGAAGTTTCATAGTGAATGTGTTTGCACAACACAGCAACCCATTATGGGTAACTAGACACAGTAAGCTAGCATGTTGTCAGAAGCTTCCTGAAGTATAGATTCGTTGTCAGCAACAAACTACCTGACCTACTGATAGCTTACTGAAGGAATTGTACACATTATGGCTTATCATGATGACTAAACCCAGGTGAATGATCTCATTATGGAAAGCAGTGACTAAGTCAATCAGCAAGAACAAAAAAATAAAAAAAGGAAATCTCTTGCCACTTTTGCTAAGCAAATCTAGACCACCCTGCCAGCAGCAGTTATTTCACCCAGTGCCCAAGCAGTAATTTGGGGTAACCATCACTTACTCAGCCATTCCTACCATGACCTCTTCAGCAGCTGCTGTGGCATTTTTCTTTTTATCATTATTTTTTCACACACAAGAGTGCATTTGAGTATTTTCATTTCTTTTTTCTTTTTTTTTGGAGGAGGAGGAGCTGGAATTTTCTAGAAGTGTACAAATGTGTACTACAAGAGAGGTAAAATGGGAAGGGTTGCCTGGTACTCTGACAGTGGGCACCAACCATGGATACTAACAAGAGGACCAGAATATAGGTTATTTTGTCACTTTGCATTTATGTGACAGCCGTGACACTGAGAGATGTCAAGGGAAAGCAAAGTGGTGAAAGATCTTTGTTTGCAAATGGGGGGTGGCAACCTTTTCTTCCCTTTGCAGTAAGATTCTCAGAGATTCAAGTGCTCTCACAATTCTCCACCTTCTCCTCACTTTCTCTAGTCTCCAGATGCTTGTGAAAGTGAATCATTTGGCCACTTCCTTTTTGCAAATACTTCTGTCAAAATAAAGGCTTTTCTTTTCAAAACTCTTCCGCAATTTTCTGCATTTATTTTTTTTTACAATATATATGCAGATCTATATTTCCCAGTCACAACAAAAAGAAAAACTTTCAACAAACAAAGGCTGCTCTTTAAAAAATTGATCATTTCAACTTTGTTGTGTGTGCCCATCTCAAGGCAAACTGGGAGGTCCTTATCACAAAAATGGCACCTGGTGGATGTAGGGACTTAAAGAAAAGATGCCTATGTTCTCTATACAAAAGCACTGAAAACTACAACCACAAAATATTAAAGTATAAAATGTGGAAAAACAAATACAATGGATGTTATATACTATTAATATACTTAATAGCATACAATAACATGTATTAATAGACTCTAAAGGGAATCTTGAATACCTGTAAATGTGCTAATTCTTCATTTAGTTCTACTGTTCTCTCCTTTTCTTGTAGAAATGCTGGAGTGTCAGGTAAGGTAGAACTCTGATTTTGATGGTGTTTTAATAGCTTAGCTCTTAGGGAGGACAGGGATTGCAATCGTAGCCTTTTCCCCTTAGACTGTGAACAGACAGTATACGTGGGTCATAGAAAATATCTCAAGAAATGAAAATAAAAAAATATATAATTAGCATCACTGGATGTTAAAACAATATTGATTATATGCTCTATTGAAGGCAGAAGCAATGCCAAGATGGAAAAATGAATGAAGAACTGAACTGTTAATAAGCAAATGCATTCACAATCAGTATTCAGAGAGTTAAATTGGTAAAATGTTTTCAAATGCCTTGGTAAATAAAAATATTTTCCCTTTGAATGATGACTACAATGACAGCAATGATGACAACCGCACCTGGGGAAGTAATTCCGTAACTCTGCACAACCCTTATTCTACACTGCAAAACAAGGGTATACAAACAGCCCCTTTTAAAGACACAAGATTTCACTTAAACTTAAGATGTCACTTTCGCTCGCAAGATATGACAGACCAAAGAAAGATACAAATATTTAACAATGGAATAAAACTAAACTGGCCTACTGTGACCCATATGCCCTTCCAGACACCATTTTCAGGCAATAATCTGGTGACTGTAATGGTAGCAGAAACCAAGGAAGCAACAGTACCTTAGATGTGATGAATCTACGATGCAGCTTTTCCAGTCTCTGGGCTGAATCAAGAAACAATGACCTCATATAGGCTGAAGGTGAGAAACTGTCCGAAAATTTAAGAACTGTGACCAGGTAACCATCAGAAGCAATGAGGTACGGTAAACTTGGGTGTGATGTTATGGAAAATCTCTGTCTCAGAGAGTCTCCTTCAGAGACTGATGAATCATGGGAGTGATTTGAATCTCGCAACAAGGAATGTTGTGATCTAGTAGATAAAATAATAAATTATCAGAAAAATAAAGAAGCAAAGGAACATCTATGATACACAGACATTAAACTAACCTCCACATTCATCCCTTCTCTCATACTAGGGTATTTCCATACAAAGGTCTTAAATGGAAAGGATCAGATCACCCCCTAAGTTTTTATATACAGGATGAAAAATGTGTTTAGGAAAAGCAACATCTTCTTTAATGGAGATCATAATTCAGAGAACTAAATAATTAACTCTTATGACCTGTGATATTTTCAACATTGTGAAATTTTATAGTAACATTTTTACTACAAAATGTGCAATAAAGTAACATTGTGGAAATGTAGAGAGAGATGAATGTATGATACTGCAGGAAGCCTAGCATATATTTTCAAACAGACATTTTGCTTAGAGTGCTCTTTATATTTTCTTTGGACTTTTGCTAGAAAACTTTCCAAAAGGATGCTTGGTCTCTGCTCCTAAATGTGCTTGTTCATTTTTACATTGTAAATGGAAATCAGGTCTCTTAAGAAGCAAACACATTTCACTTTCCCCCTTAAATGCAACTTTGCTCATTCTCCTGAGGGGTGCAATATTCCATAACCCAGCCAGCATTTCCAGTTTCCTAGTGGCACATTATTTCTACTCATGCTGCTGCCAATAAGAACATGACCAGGTCTTTATGAAGAGGTTAATTTTGTAAGTCAGTGACAATTCAGAAAACACTAATACAGAATTTGACCTTTGCAGTTATTTCTGAAATTGGTATATTTTCTGCCAGATCTTTTAAACATTTGGACATTGCCATTACATATGGATTAGGGACACTTTAGGATAGAAATGCTGAACTTCCAACTTGCCTGGACCACACACCAGGCAGTCCACCGCACCCATGAAGCCTTCCGGAAATACTCTAGGAAGTGGGGTACAGGATGCAAGCCATCCCCTCAAAGGGCATTTTCCACTGCTGCAGATCAGCAACTAATCCTGTTATCTGAGGTATCAGTGAAGATATTGGGCAACACAATTTACCTGCACTAGCTGAGATACATCAGGTTTATATATATAATTATCCTTGAACCACCTGATGGAAGTCCCAAATTATCTTTTTTTAAGCACTGGAATGGCTTTTTCAGTCTTACAATTAAGCTAAGCCTTCAGCAGCTCAATGCCCAAAATAACTGGCAAGGTTGCTATACAAAGAAACTGTGAAATGTACTCAAGTACACCAAAGGTTACCATTGCCCTTTCTTAACAAAAATCCATGCCTGAGGAACAGTAAACATGTAGTCCTCTCTCCTACAACAGCCGTCCAGTACACCAATTTGTGTCAAGTTAAGGATTTCCATTTGCTCCCAGAAGACATCCAGGAATACAGTTCTCCCTCCTCTCTTTCTAGGATACTCATACAAGTTGCGTGAGCCACTGGATGATAATGAGCGTATGAGGAAAACCCAGGGTTTTCTTAAGGAGCAGACTGGATCACTAGGCTGCAGCTATTAGCGTGCGAATGGCAGACTGAGATATGCTGCACTGGCCTCCAGCAACCCCTGCTGCCTAATTTCATCAGTTTGCATCTATTCAGGTATGCTTACAATTAGTTTTTAAAATTATTTTAAATAGTCTATTAAAACAGTTCATTTTAGTTGCTGCAATAGATCCCTCTGTATCTGCCCATCATGTGTGCACAATATGGTGGGACATGTAAGAACAGGAGGGTATCAAGTAAATAAACATTTGTTAATGGCTAAGCCAACAGGAAAAGCAAATGAATGTTATTTTATGTAGAAATCACTAGGTGTTATACCAGAAATTTCAATTCCCTCTATTATTTCACAGTTTATACATTTATTTTAATAACCTTCAGAACAAAGTAATAATCAGCAACAAAGAGACATGCATTGTGATGTGACTACTTAAGTCAGATCATCTATTTTTGCACTGATCCATTATTATATGTGAGGCAAAAAGGGAAAACTGCTGAGTTAATGTTGAAACTCTAAACTAATTTGGAACAAAAACAATTTTAGAATAAAGTAGCATTTTTAGAAATGCAGCCCACAATTATGCTGTCTGTACATCTCAGCCACTATTTATTATGACTTAATCTCTTAATGTATTTCCCATTCTACCTCATGGTGTTACTGCGCCGCCATTTAAGTCACTGGCATAGAAGGCTTATAATTCTTAAAAGTGTGTGCTATATGTGAGCTTCTACTGTTTTTCATTCTGTGTTCTGAAAGTTGGTTGTGTGCGTGTGAGTGAGAGCAAGAGAGAGAGAGAGACAGAATAGTAAGAACAAAGGATATGGTGAGACAGAAAGTTGTACAAACATAGCTAGTCTACAATTATCTATATTATGGTAGATTTTATAGTAATACGCCTGTGTATGGTATAGTAATGTGCCTGCCTGCCTCTTAAGATCTGTATGGAGGTCCTTCTTCGGGAGCCTTCCTTGAAGATTAGGAGGGTGGCTACCTGAAGAAGGGCCTTCTTTGTGGTGGCGCTCCAGTTATGGTACACAGTCCTCAGAAAGGTTCGCCTGGCATCAACATTTTATTCCTTTCGGCACCAGGTGAAACCCTTTTCATTTTCCCAGTATTTTAAGGTTTGAGTGTGATTTTAATATGGGGTTTTATTATACAGCAATTAATTTGGATGCTGTGCTCCACCCTGTTTATTGTAAGACCATCCTGAGACCTCAGTAGTGGACGGGATATAAAAGTTTCAAATAAAAATAATAATGTATAGGGATCATCCTTTAAGACTTTTCTCTGGGACTCCCAACTGCCTAAAGCGAGAGGTGGGACAACTGCAGGGGAGGAGCTTCCTGGTGACGGAATCCCACTTATGAAACAACAGAATCCACAAAAAGGCCTGTATGGCACCGACTTGCATATTTTTCCAGCACCAGATAAACACTTTTTTTCCTCCAGACCATTTAACTTTTTGTTGAGATTGTTTTATGCTGTGTTACACTCCAGCTTTATATTTATTTGGTTTTCTTTTTGTTCTATTGTTTTAGATGTTATTGTTTTTCTGTTCTGGAACTATTTAAATTGGAAATGGAAACATTTAAAATAAGAAATAAATATGAAGGAGTATTTTGAGGGATCACAACCAATGCAAACAAGGAAATATTAGGAAGTAGAAAATTTATTTTCCCTTACTTGGTTTCTTCAAATCACCCAATTGTCTAACTACAACTGGTTTTATTATATTGTTTTACTGTTTCGTTATATTTTATTTTTAAGCTTCTTGTATATTGCCTTGGTATTCATTAGACTAAACAGAGGCATAAAAATACTTTTAATAAATAGAATATTTAATATTAAGAAATACATTTGGAAGTATTAGGAATGTAAGAATAAAATTCTACATGAGATTAACTAGATATTCTATTCATTCAAAAAGATTTACAGAGACACTGATCTTCAGGATTTCCTAAATGCTTATTTTCCTATGACATCTCACATTTTGAATGTTTATTCGCCCAGGAAGAGTCATTTATCAGGAAGAGTCATTGAATTAATTCTTGATTCACTCTACAAAATTGCAAAGAATATTAAATTAAATGATTATTTCATTAGTTGCTTTCCTACTGATAATGTCATACAAGTTATTACTAACTTAGCCTTTGAAGAATTTTTAAAGTGATCCTAATATTTGCTTAAATAACTTTTACTTACATGATGAAAACGTCATTTGTTCAGCAGGACAAAGCCATTATAAGAAATAGAAGAGAACTATGAATGAGAAACAAATATTGAGAAGAAAAACACAGAAAAAGCAAAATAATTAATTGAAATATGAAACATTTCGAACAGAAGAACTATAAGAAAGAAAGGCGTGATCAAATGCTTTTAATAACCTTCATTTTAATTACCTCACCTGTATGTTATAAGTGGATGCAGAGGAATAAATTCTGCTGGTCCAAATTCTACAGAGCAGCCATAAGTAACCAAAGTCAGCAATTCACCCAAACAAGTAGTTAAGATCAGTGATCCACGTTTTAACATACAAGCTAAAAAGAGGCTATCAGAAGTCCAGCTCATATCAGCAATCCAGTAAGACCTAAAATAACATAAAAAGAACATTTTTGAAACTTACTCTTCAACTACACATACAGATTAAAAAAAAACTTTAAAAAAAACAAAACTTAATTTTGATTTCAGATACTGGCCTTATAAACTTGCATGGAATTTTTTTATTCTTGTTACCACAGCCTTTAAGACTACCAGTCACAGTAATAAAATTCATGGTGCTTGTAAACAGTATTTGAGTTGCCTGATTTTTTTTAACGAGAAGAGAAATATTGGTTAAAACTTGACGTAAATATAAGAAATAAAATATAAACATTTATTAATGCTTCTCAACATGTTTCAGGCTTTCAACATTAATTTGCTAGATTAATGCAGCATATGTAACACTCAGGTTTATCATTTGCCAAATAAGAAGTACAGATAATGAACATAATAAAAATGTACTACAGACTTCCATTCTCCTTCCTTGAGTCAAGGATACTAGCTCTTTTCTAAAAAATCTTGTTGGATATACCCCTTTGTGCCTCTAGGCCTTCCTGTCTTCCACCATCCCCTGGAAGCCACTTAAGCTCACGCCAACTGCTTCAGTGACTCCATCCAGCCACCTCATTCTCCGCCGTCCCCTTCTTCTTTTGTTGTCAATTGTTCCCAGCATTGGGCTCTTCTCCAGTGAGTCCTTCCTTCTCGTTATGTGGCTAAAGTATTTGAGTTTCATCTTCAGTATCTGGCCTTCTAAAGAGCAGTCAGGGTTGATCTCCTCTAGGACGGACTGGTTTGGTCATCTTGCAGTCCAAGGGACTCGCAGGAGTCTGCTCCAGTACCACAATTCAAAGGCCTCAATCCTTTTGCGCTCAGCCTTCCTTATGGTCCAGCTTTCACAGCCATAGATTGCAACTGGGAAGACCATAGCCTTGACTATACGCACTTTTGTTGGCAGGGTGATGTCTCTGCTTTTTAGTATGCTATCTAGATTTGCCATAGCTTTCCTCCCCAGGAGTAAGCGTCTTTTAATTTCTTGGCTGCAGTCCTTGTCTGTGGTGATCATGGAGCTCAGGAAAATAAAGTCTGTCACTATCTCCATTTTTTGCCCATCTATTTGCCAGGAAGTGAGAGCACTGGATGACATGATCTTAGTTTTCTTAATATACCCCTAAGGGCAGCATTTAATGTCACAATGGAGGAAGTGGGAAGGAGTTACTAGAAGTAAACTACCCTGCCCATACTACATCCCTTGGTATCTTCCAGAACCCCTGAGGACACTACACAAAGGGTTGGGGAATTTTTCTGAATGGCATTGGCTGTGGCACCAGAGAAATCAGGGGCACACAAAAATCAGGCAGAGGCATGCAGATAGAGCCTCCTATCGTGGAAATGGCTTCTGGTTGATTTAGGGAGTTTCTCCCATCCTATTCCGCTTCATGTACCACAGCATCCCTGATTAGCCCTTGTGGAGAAGTAGAGTTGGTAAGTGAAGGAAAGGGCAGGGAAATTCACTTCCAGGAACCCCCTCCTATAAGTGCAACTTTGGGTGCCATCAAAGGTGATTTACAGTGCAACACTTAAATGGTACATGATTAAGAGTAATTTGTTTCTAATTATGCCAATTGTGCATACCTGGGGATCCTTTTGATTGACACCTACTGCTAGCACAAGCCCATCATGTGAAAATGCAGTAAGCAAAGCACCTCTTGATTTCACTGACTCACAATGGGGAGTAAGGCTTGACAGGGAGCATATTTTTTGTGCCCAGTGTATTTGACATGGAAAAGTGCTACAAATCAAAGAAAGACACGTAAGTATATAAAGAGGGACACACATGCTGGATTTCTGTGCTCATTGTGACTTTAAGTGGCAACTGGCAACAATTATATTTAGCCTACAATCATATAAATATTCACCTGAACATAAACACCACTGAACAGTGTGACCAGTTTCTGACCTAAACAAGCATAGGATTTTATGCTGTTATATACTTGCTGATGCTTGACTTTTTAAAATTATTTATTGTTATTTTAGTCAGCTAGTATACATAAAAGGTTTAATTCTGTTTTAGTGCGACTATGAACAAGCTAGAATGAGCCTAAGCAAAGTCTCCTTTCCACATGGCTAGGGAGAAGAACCACTATCTTTTTTTTTTTTTTCATTTTATTTCCCACTACATATGCATCTATCTAATGAACTTTGCTTCAAAACCTATGGCCAGACAGAAAATGACTAGAGTTTGTTTGAAACCATGATCTCTGGTTTGTACATAACACTAAATGAAATGAAAATGAAAGTAAAAAGCTAGCACAAGCTCTGTGGGAGAAGAGAACAGAGACTTCACTCCAGCTCTTTGTAGCTCATGAATTCAGCAATAAACCATGGTTTGGCTAAGTAGTATGCTCTATCATATGGTTTGCATGAAAAGGCAGCCCACGGTGGTTTAGCCCTCAAATAATCACTTCTATCTGAATTTGAACAAATGCCATGACAAACTGTGCTTCCACAGATGTCATTCAAAACTGGTCCCCTTGGGTGCCCAGCAGAACACAACACCCCTACCCTGATTAGGAAATTAACTCATGATGAAATGTCAAGACATGTGGATATGGCCTATCAATAAACATATACAATGTCTTGGGCCACCTTAACAAATCTCTGGTTTTGTTTTACAAAAGTAGCAGAGCAACTCCTCTGGAAAATATAGACTTATACAACATCCAAATTCATACATATGGAGGTATTTTATTCTTAAAAATGTATCTATGTCATTCAAAAGATTTGTGAACACTCATGTTTTAGAACTCTAACTTAAATCTAATAAATGTTTTAAACTTACCCTGCGCTCTGTTGCCACCTAACTTCTAAAAATGTAAGCATCAATTGCTCTTCAGAAAAAAATGCAAAAGAACATAGGCAGCAGTCCCCAAGCATCTGCCAATGAATGAGAAGAACGTTTAATAACCTGGCTTGACTATTCAGTGACTAAAACATAAACTATATTTTAAGTCCTAATTATCTGACATATATTTCTGATTTACCAATTGTTGGTAAAATATGAGGCACTAATCTAACTGTAACGTATGATTTCATATCTCGTCCCTTGAAAATACACCAAACTGGGTTGTATATGTACTATAATTGTTCTAAAACGTTATGGTTGGAGCCCTAAGGCTTGCTGCCTGGGAAGAGGCATGACAAGTACATGGCATATTTATTGGTTACCCAGTGCAAAAAGAACAGTCACACAAACACCGTTTGACCTTCACAATAGCAATAATTAATCACAATGGCAAAATTAACACAATTTGTTGGGATGCATGCTGCCTGTGAGCTACTTCTGCTTACTGTAACTACCTCCCACGGGCACAGTAAAAGGTAGTTAACATGATGCACAAAACTGGGAACTATGAGTTGCTTAGCAGTCAAACAAGCCAGTTATTAACCCAACAACAAACCATGGGTTATTATTGGGCTTGTTTAGACCCTAAAGAACACAATACTCTGGGTTTGCATGGCATTCTGAAAACTTCCAATTGCCCCAATCAGAGATTGTTTACAGAACCTTGAAGTGACTAGCAGCCAGTGCACCTCCCTATAAACTGTAGGATAAATAACCCATGATTTCTTTCCACGCTGGATTTCTTTCCAAGCCACTCACTGCAGGCCAACATGCTTACACTGATGGTGAGAATCAAGCTCTCAGACATCACTGTATCTCAAGCTGGACATGCAACAGATATGTTGCTGTGCAGAGGGCTCCTTATTCAGGATAATTCCTTTTCGTTATCCCCTATTTTCCAGCACCTTCTCAGTCAGTTATTATTCTGTGGCCATTCCTGAACTATTTGGTTCCCCCCTACCCGTACCCCTACCTTAGGGTTTTAGCCCCTAACTTTGTATGTGTCTGCAGATAGCAAGGTTTCCCATGTCTTCTGGTATCTCCTTCTGGGGACTCAACTGAACTGTTTTGACCATACAGACAGCACCACTCACAGTCTGAACTGCATGGGAAACAGAGGGAATGATTATCTTCAATCACATTGTAGAACCCAAGCCTCCGAATTAAGAACTTTTACTCACTTGAACTATTTGATAATAAGCATGCAATGTTTTTCTACTATGGTCAGATTGTAAGCTTGAAACTAGGAAAAAATACTATATATTTTATACAAATGCTTAATTGAACCTTAGTAAATATCCATGGGAGATATATTTTATACTTTACCTCATTTTTGATAAAAACAGCACTGACTGTAGTTTCTTTCTCTTCAATGGATGGTAACACAACAGATGCTTCAGGAATAATTTGTGACCACTGTCCCATGGCAGCACTTTTAGAGTGTGCATTTTTATATTCCGTGCTTTCCCACAGGAGGACACACAAAGTTGAAGTAGCAAGAATCACTTTATTTCCATCTCCAGAAACATGTATGTGCAATCTTGTAGAACATTCTGGGAAATAATGTCACGTCATAACATCTGCTTTGAATTCACAATATGTATGTGCAATATTTTGATAAAACACTATCTGCCTACTGAAAGTAATGTTTATGTTATCAAAGTCAACACAATGAATAGATGACATCTGCAACAAAGTACAGGATTTATCACAGAACCAAGACTGTTTCCCATACTGCATTACTAAGTAGGGTCCCCTATAAATGATAAACATGTATAAGCTTTCCTAGCTTGGTGTCCTCCAAATATTTCAAGTCAATTCCCATCTGCAGCAGCCAGCATGGCCAATGGCCAGAAATGCTACAAGTTGTAGTCAGAAACATCTGAACGGCATGGGAAAGGCTGCTATATATACTAAGGTTTAGATTAACAGGTCTTTATTTCTGTTATCAAAATTATTATTTAGCAATAATTCATTTTCATTTATTAACTTTAAGCACTTTTTGGTTTTTTTAAAAATAGGAAAAAGGAAGCATTTAAACAAGTATATTAACTGAATATTCCTACCTTCTGCTGCTGTGACAATTTTCGTAGTTTCTTCAACAGCAGGGACATGCTTAATGGTGTCTTGGTCTTTGTTCCAAAGAAAGAGCTCTCCTGTTTTAAGTATCCCTGCCAACCATGCTCCTGTTTGAATAAGATTTTTTAAACACTTGCCTCATTTTATAGAAACAGTACAATTCTATGCATGTTTGTAAGCCATCCTGAGACGCAATAGTGAAGGACGGCATATAAACATTTCAAATAAATAAATATTATACTATTTATATAGTAATTTTAATTGTGTTAGGTTTATTTATTTTAAATAGATCAGTTTTATGCTCAGTGTGGAACAGTTAACTTATTTTATTGAGGATTGAAATAATGTTGTAAGCTGTCCAGAGACGACAGTGATGGAAATGTGTCGTAATTTTCCACTTTGGCCATTTGGGGAATGATCCCATGGCCCAAAACATTGTCTGAAGGATCACAGGATAGTCTGGATTCCTTGAGTGATGTCAGACACAGTGGTCCAATTTTGGAGTTGGGAACTGGAGCTCTGCTCTCACCCCTTTCTCACAGTTGTTGTGAGAGCAACTGTGCCAGCTGCACTCCAAGGCTTGGTAAGCAATCTGGGAGAGTAGAAAAAGGAGGCATTTCAGGGCATGGGTCACAGGATGGCTGAAAAAGATTGTCTTCCAAAAATGGACAGCAGGATGAGAAGATTGCCTTTGGTACGCCTCCCATCTTGTATTAGATGAGCACATGCATCCCATTTCAGTAGCTCCACTTGTTTCAATAGGACTGTACCCTTAATAATGTTAGATCAAGAGTATGCTTATGGCAAGCAAAAGGTTAGGCAGTATCAGTGCAAAGTGTTAGATAACAAATCCATTTTTTGTTAGAGACATGGTTAAGCTAAATAAAATGAAAAATATAATCATATTATATTTTCCTAGTGTTAATACTTAACCATTTCTTGATGTTGTTAAGACAAAAACATTCTTCAGTAAAGAATGTAACTGTGGAATCTTCTTCCTTGTCCTTCCTGAAAGCAGGTTAATTTCATTGATGTTTTTGTCATCTAAGAGAAACACAGCCTCCTTTTCCTATTATTAAAAAAAAAAAGTGTCAGCCTTTTATTCAAGATGCTACTTTCTAATTTTTCCTGAAAATTAATGCCTAACTAAGCACAACTATTGTATTGGAATAAGAGTATAAAATTAAATGTCAATATACCTGACATTTACCTGAAGGAGCGCTTACATCCATATATGCCCAGCTGCCCACTGAGATCGGCGGGAGAGGCCCTTCTCCAGGAACCCTCCGTGAAAGAAATTAGGAGGGTGGGTACTCGGAGGACGGCTTTCTCTGCGGTGGCACCTAAGTTATGGAATGTGCTCCCCAGAGAGGTCCGCCTGGCGCCGTCATTATTTGTTTTTCGGCGCCAGGTGAAGACCTTTTTATTTAAGCAGCATTTTAAATGTTAATATTATTGAATTTTATCTGGCCAGGGCAGCTTATTTTATATTGTATGTTTGTATTTTATTCTAATGTTTACATTTTTAATTTATGATTATAATTATTTAATTTATTGTTGTAAGCCGCCCCGAGGCTTCGGCGAATGGGGCGGCATAAAAATGTTTTAATAAATAAATAAATAAAGTGTGCAATTCAAAGCCTTTTGTGTGCAGCATTTTACTGGCCATGCCTAAAAAATGAAATATACATTTACATGAAAATTCCAAGCTTTTTCCTTGCCACAGAGATGAGGATACTAGAGATGACAGTTTACAGTCAATGTCTTTTAATGCATGGAAAGAATTTATGATTAATAATATAGAAACCCAACATACACACACACAAACCTATTTGAAAAGTCAGCAGCAGACCTCTGCTCCAAAGTGTCAGTTTTATTAATAATGCTATCCTTCAAAGAATAAGTTGCATGTAATATAATCAAACCTGGGATACAATCTAATAAAAGTTAAGCACTGTGGAATTGGGAATTCCAGGTTTTAGTTCCTGCTCAGCTGTGAAGCTGACTGGCTGACTAAACCCACATCACAGGTTTGTTGTTAGTATACGAGTAACGTGGAATAGAGGAGGCCACAAGAGGAAAAAAAGGCAGGCTAGACACGCAAGGTAGTAATACTAATAATTTCAGTACACAATCTTAACTCTGTGCAGTGTCCCTACTGCACAACATATAAAAATAAAAATGATTACCTGCCCTAGCCAAGTGATCCGAGGCCATGGTTTCTTTTGCTTGATGCATGTAGAGGCTAGAACTTCTAATTTAATTTCCATGAATATAAATCAGTATGGTAGCCATAAAGAACCTGCAAAAAACTGTTAAAAGTATTCACTTAACTGAGATATTCAAACCCAAATAACTGCTATATTTACACATTACAAAATGTAATTCTTTGAAGGTAAAAGTTTATTGTCAGTTGCCATACTGCTTAAGATTATTAAGGATTTAGCAGCATTAAATGAGATGCAGTGTCCTACAGGTCCCACTCCAGATCAGCCCATATGGGGCAGGGTATGTGCAGATGGGTGGACAAGGTGGGAGATGTTTTGCAGTTCTGCCTTGCCTGGCTACCTTGCTTGGCTTAAAGCAATTAAAATGCGACTGGTACCCTGGATTAGTGACTGCAAGATCTTCCATTATGCATGTTTACACAGAAAGAAGTCCTACAGTTCCCAGCATGCCCAACTACCGCATAAATCTTGCACAATACCATCCCGGGCATGTTTAAGGAAAAACACCCTTACACGGAGACACAAAGAAATGACATGCAGAAGTGTCTTTCGTGCCAACTTAGTCTTAGTGTGCAATCCTAAGCAAGTTCAGATGCCCCGCAAAAGGCCTACATTTCCCAGAATGCCTAGCCTCATGCTGGGAGCAGTTAGCTTTTTGTTTTCTAAAGACGCGTATTATTTCATTCTCAAGCACGATGTGATCAAAGGCACCCTGTCAGTATTTTTGATGCGGGGGGGGGGCATAAAACGGGCCTCGCAGGAGAGTCCACCAAACCTGCGCTGTTTCGGAGAGCGCCTCGGAGCAAGCCTGGGAGTGGCTCCCTCCCTCTCCGTCGCGGGGTGGTCAGGAACGAGCCCACAGCAGGCGGCACGACCCCGGTGCCGGGCGGTGGAAGCCGCCAAACAGCTCCGCCAGCCCGTCTGCTCGCTCCCCAGCTCAGGAATGACGGGCCGGGCTGTCCGCAGCCGAAGAAAGAAGAAAAATGTTCCTTGGAATCGCCCGACGTCGTTGCACTGAGGGATGGGAAAGGAAAAAAGGACGCCTGCCAGCTAGCCAGCCCGGCCGCCCGCCCGCCCCAGAGCAGTCTCGCCTCGAACCCCGAGCAGTTCTCAAGCTACTGGCGGGGGGGCGGTGCAGCGTACGGGGCGAGCAAGTGCGCATGTGTACCAGGGTTGCTGCCGCCGCGGCGGGTTGGTGGGCGGGAGAGAAGGTTCCTCTGCCATGTGTCATTTAAGTCGTAACTCAGCCGCAGGCTGGGACTGACGTATCTTTAGATTCCCCATGCGGAATCATGCAGCAAAAGCACGCAGAAAAGTCTTTCGTACCATCTTAAAGACTTAGCATGATCTCATGCAAGTTTAGACACTCCCCCACTCCTACCGAAAGCCCACATGTCCTTCTCGGGGCTGGGGCATGCTGGGAATTGGTAGCCTTTTTTGTCTAAACATACATAGGATTGTTTTTAAATACCCTTGGGGGGTGTAATATAAGTTTTCGTGGGCTATAGTTCGCTTTCTTACAGCACAAACCCACGCAGGCTTCCTCAGAAGGCTGGACCTTCCGGTCAAAGTTGAGGAGATTCCCCTCCAAATTCCAAACACCTGACTTGAAAGTAAGCCCCATTGTACTTTGTAAGGGTTCCCTCTCGTAAATGGGCACGAGTGTAACCTTACAAACAATGCCTGTACATGTTTTAGTACATGTATTCAGACACTCCAGTGTTCAAAATCTCTGAAGCTTGTAACACCTTCCTATCATCTTCAGGCACTATGGCCAATAGTCAGGGATTGTAGTTCATTCCGTATTTTCACAAAAGAGAAACTTCATTGAAGCCTCAGGAAAGTTCTTCAAATTTAAAGTTTATTTTGATTGGACTGTGCTAAGAAGTGATGTCAAAGGAAAAAAAGGTACTCCTCAAAAATCTGTATGAAAATGTAGGGATAAGGTAGTACCAGTTCCATTGGTAAGAATTCTGTACCATTTCCATGTTCTTGCAAGCCGTAACTTCTAAACTGACTTTTGGGTATTGTTAGCTATTGCACACAAATGTATGGTAAGCTTAAGGTTTGCTTAAGTCCATTTGTTCACAATGAAGGTTCAATGGATTTATGTTTGGATGCAAAGGCGAAGTATGTTTGCAAAGACCATGGGTCCTCAAACTTTTTCACCAAGGGGCCCGTTGAAAGCTGCAGGTGCTGGCGTGGGCCAAAAAGGTGGTGCCTGGTGGTGTGTGCGGGCCGGCGAGGGGTGGGGCTGGTGCATGCGGCGTGTGCGCTGAGGCGGGGGTGGGGTGCGCAGCGAGGGGAGGCAAGGTGCGGGTGTGCACGGGCGGCAGGGGGAGGTGAAGCGGGGCAGGCACGTGCTGCAAGGTGGGTGCACGAGGCAGCGGCTTGCTCGCTTGGATTGTTTTCCCCGAGAGCAAACCGCTGCCTCCTGCATGTGGGGCAAGGTGGGCGGCAGCGTGTGCACGTGCGGGGTCCAAATGGGCATGGCGGGCCAGATCCGGCCCCCGGGCCGTAGTTTGAGGACCTATGGCAAAGACCTTCAAATCATCTTAGAAAGCATGGCACACAAACAAAATGTGCACAAGACAAGACTTGCTGCTGCTCAGGTATTTGGCATGAAACCATAATTTGCCATTATATTTCTATGTGGTCAAAATATATGGAAGGGGCAGACCAGCAGAATTGTCCAATGAATGAGTGATGTAGCTTGTTAAAAATAATAATTATAAATATGAGCCTTTTATCCATTTCCTGATAGTGCTTCTAGATGAGGTGATCTCAACAACTATAAGGCGCACAGCCATAGTCCTTGAAAGGAACAGGGAGGAATAGTTATGCCACTGGAGAGGCCAAGCAGACTCATCTTTCCGTTAAATCAGGGAATATAAAGATACAATGAAGTCTAGCATATTCAGTGTTATTCTTGGATACCAGGCACCAGCAATCAACTAGGACAGTGAGGTATACAGCTGTGATGGACAACACACTGCTCTCAAATACTGTCTCCCTTCACACACCAAAGGAGCATGACTGTGCTGCAGAAGAAGGCTTCTTGCAAGACTTCTTTTGCAGTTCAATCATATGTGACATGTCTGCTTGGCAAGCTGCTGGGAGTCCACCTGAACTGAGGAAGGGGCACTTGGGGAGAGTCAACCCCATGCACCCTCAGTGAGTAGCCCTAGTAGCAGCCACTAGCTTCCCCTGTGATCTTCCCGCCCATATCTCCATCAGGAAAACTTCAGCTGCACTGCACAATAAATCCCAATGCAGCCAGGACTGAGGTTTCTCCATTGCTTATAGAAGCAGTGTCTTCTCTTCCTTGCCATGTACTCCTGTCAGTGATCCTGATAGGTATAGCCCCCTCCAGAGACAGGAAGAGCCCAGGCCCACTGACATCATCTGGTCTGCAGAGGGACAGGCAGTGGGTTATTCAAATCCCTCAAGCAGAAAAAGCAGTGCACTGTTAGTTAAACAAGATAGTCAAGCCTCTCTCTTCTATGGTCCTTGTACAAATTCTATTCAAAATTTAACAAGAAACTCACTATACAAATAATTTTAATTGCTAGGGCAGGATTATACAAGGCGGCTTAGTCCAATGCATATAAAATTGATTTACTGTTAGAAAAAATTGTAGTTATTAAAAAAACAAAAAAGAAACAGCTTGGCATTTCTGTATTCTGATACATGTAGTTATGAACACATGACACAGAACAATAATAATTCAATCATCCATCTCAGCAGGTGCTTGATTGTTGCCATGTTTCTTTATACGCATTTGCCTTCTCTGATTCCAGTGCAGTGACAGTTCATTCCAACCAGGCAAATTGTAGGTATCGCTATATTCAGTGAAGCCGTTCTAATTTAGCCTGGAGTGATTTGAAGTTCCCTGTGATAGTCTGAACAGCTAGTGTTGGACTTATGGACTGAAGTTCAACAAGGTAACAACTAATAGCATCCAAGCAAATATTTGTGAATCGCCGTCTAATGAGAAAGAGAGACAGAGAGACAATTAATTTTGTTTTTTGTCAAGATAAGGCGGCCTTAAACTTTCTTCTTAATTTTGCAGCTATGCTCAGCGTCAGTGATGATCATAGAATAGGACAGGAACAAAATGCTGGGCAACTGGTGCCAATGGAAGAATTTTGTCAAGCATAACTGCTGCATGGGGGAAATGGTGGATTTTCATGTGCCCATGTTTTGTGTGAATTAACAGGTACACATTTATATGTTAATAATTGGAATATCTGTTATGAAATATTAACTGAAAGTGCTCCTCTACTAATTTTGTTTTTATATTGGAAGACTAAATACACAATGAAATAAGGAAGAATACCTATTTCAACAAGTGTACTCTCCTCACACCCCCTTACACAAGATAATCATTCCATTTCCTGACTATATAACTTCTATTTGCAGTGTGTGTGTTCAAATTACAATCACCTCTCAAAAGCAAGCACTTTGTTAGGGTCTTGAACGTATCCTGATAATAATACATGAATGCATTCCAATAAGTGCAAAGGCTTCTTCATTTTGCTCCAGTATGGATCCTGGGGGTGGAGAGGGGTTATAAGAAGTTCAAAATGATTCATCAACTTTCAAGCATACCTAAGAACATTTGTGCATAAAATACTAACATTAACACATTGGTTAATATTCCTGTTACAAGGAAATAACTGAGGATGGCTCTGAGCTGAAATGTGTAATAAAGCCTGAGATGTTCTCAGCTAAGAGAAATGTAAAAAGGGTACTCCCATCTGTACACAGCATCCAAATTCTTTCTTTGGCCCTGCAAGCAGCACAGGCCTCTTGATCAGTCCAAGTACCCATCTCAAACTCATATCTTGAGGAGCTACTTACTTGTGGAAGACATACCTTTAGAGATACCTTGCCGTGGAAGGAATACAAACTGAAAACGCCAATGTGCCAGGCTGCATATTCAAACAAGCTATATGGCTTAAAGAAACTACAAGGGCTTGTGCTAATCCCCAGCATATGCCAGGTGCCATTTCCCTAATAAATCATCCAGGTGTGATCTGTTGTGTTGTCCAAACCTAGGCAGACAATAGCTTTTTGCAGGGGAAACAACATTTAAATAACCCTACAACAAACCATGGGTTATTTGAAGATTGTTTCCCTTCAAACATGTCATGCTGCTTGTGTTTGGAGAACATGACATCCCACACCAGAATGGATAATTAGGAAAATGGCACTGCAAAATGCTAGTATCTGTGGGGACTAAAACTAGCTTCAACTTAGTTTGATGGTGTAAACTAGATTAGCATCTGGGCCTCCCATAACATCCTGTTAGTGAGGTAGCACAATTGCACAGTAAAATCCTCATTTGGAAGCACTAAAAAGTGCAAAAGTGCTACAAACATTCTTCCAATTAAGTATCTGATTAAGTAAGTATTAAGCAATGCTGTCATTGAAAATATTGGATGCACCCAACAGCTGAACTTGAAAGAAGATTTTGAGCTTTTCTTCTTACCCGTGCTTTGAATAGCTGATCATATACTTCAAGAAGCCTTGGCAATGGCACACCAATTTCTTGCATTGTGTAAGTTACAAATCCCACATCCCAATTCAAAGAACAAACTTGCTGCTCTAGATACTGTACTAAGAAATCTGAGGAAAAAATAAGTAACAAGGCATCAATTTAAGCGTCACAAAGTTTAGTTGCTACTTTGTCTCCCTTATAAGCATTTTCACTCAGTTGACTTTTTGAAAAGTACTCTGCTGCTGTGCCATAGGCATGTAGGCTTGGTTGGAGGGAACAAATTCTTAAGAAAACCTTAAGGACTTTGTCCGTGCAGCTTCCATTACAGACAATAATTAGTCATAGTATAAAACCAGAGCTTTTGCTGTGGTCAGGTGGTTTGAGAGAAATTGCTGGGAAGATTTCCATGTGCACAGAATTAAAACTTTTTAGCCAGGATGTGAAAAGAATGTGTAATCCTAGATATAGACCAAGAAGATTCAAAGATATGGGTTATAGAAGTGAGACCACATCAAAACCATGAAGAACCACCATTGAACAAGGCTCCATGGCATGTATGGAGCCA